CACTTAAAAAGATGAGAGAGGCCTGTAATTTTCATCATAGGTACACGTCAACTATGACAGACAAATTGAGAAAAAGAATTCCAGAAAATCACATTGTACGATTTTTAATGAATTTATTTGCAAATTATGGTGGAAAATAAGTATTTGGTCAATAACAAAAGTTACTCAATACTTTGTTATATACCCTTTGTTGGCAATGACACAGGTCAAACGTTTTCTGTAAGTCTTCACAAGGTTTTCACACACTGTTGCTGGTATTTTGGCCCATTCCTCCATGCAGATCTCCTCTAGAGCAGTGATGTTTTGGGGCTGTCGCTGGGCAACACAGACTTTCAACTCCCTCCAAAGATTTTCTATGGGGTTGAGATCTGGAGACTGGCTAGGCCACTCCAGGACCTTGAAATGCTTCTTACGAAGCCACTCCTTCGTTGCCCGGGCGGTGTGTTTGGGATCATTGTCATGCTGAAAGACCCAGCCACGTTTCATCTGCAATGCCCTTCACTCAAAATCTCACGATACATGGCCCCATTCATTCTTTCCTTTACACGGATCAGTCGTCCTGGTCCCTTTGCAGAAAAACAGCCCCAAAGCATGATGTTTCCACCCCCATGCTTCACAGTAGGTATGGTGTTCTTTGGATGCAACTCAGCATTCTTTGTACTCCAAACACGACGAGTTGAGTTTTTACCAAAAAGTTCTATTTTGGTTTCATCTGACCATATGACATTCTCCCAATCCTCTTCTGGATCATCCAAATGCACTCTAGCAAACTTCAGACGGGCCTGGACATGTACTGGCTTAAGCAAGGGGACACATCTGGCACTGCAGGATTTGAGTCCCTGGCGGCGTAGTGTGTTACTGATGGTAGGCTTTGTTACTTTGGTCCCAGCTCTCTGCAGGTCATTCACTAGGTCCCCCCGTGTGATTCTGGGATTTTTGCTCACCGTTCTTGTGATCATTTTGACCCCACGGGGTGAGATCTTGCGTGGAGCCCCAGATCGAGGGAGATTATCAGTGGTCTTGTATGTCTTCCATTTCCTAATAATTGCTCCCACAGTTGATTTCTTCAAACCAAGCTGCTTACCTATTGCAGATTCAGTCTTCCCAGCCTGGTGCAGGTCTACAATTTTGTTTCTGGTGTCCTTTGACAGCTCTTTGGTCTTGGCCATAGTGGAGTTTGGAGTGTGACTGTTTGAGGTTGTGGACAGGTGTCTTTTATACTGATAACAAGTTCAAACAGGTGCCATTAATACAGGTAACGAGTGGAGGACAGAGGAGCCTCTTAAAGAAGAAGTTACAGGTCTGTGAGAGCCAGAAATCTTGCTTGTTTGTAGGTGACCAAATACTTATTTTCCACCATAATTTGCAAATAAATTCATTAAAAATCGTACAATGTGATTTTCTGGAATTCTTTTTCTCAATTTGTCTGTCATAGTTGACGTGTACCTATGATGAAAATTACAGGCCTCTCTCATCTTTTTAAGTGGGAGAACTTGCACAATTGGTGGCTGACTAAATACTTTTCCCCCCACTGTACCTACCAAGGAATGCTGACATATAAGTGAACAGCCTTTGTAAAAGCTCTGGTCCGACAGTGTGTCATCATTGACCACTCCTGCATCTCTTCCTCCTTGGACCCAATGTTGTGGACCATTTTAAGTAGTCAATTTCTGTGTAGACAATGAAATTAAATTTAGATATTACAAAATACAGTGCTAAAGGGCTTGCCACTTGCCGTACCCTGTGCGCATAGGCAGTACATAAAGAGAGACCTATGGCAACAACAGAAAATGGCACAAACATTGGTAAGGGCAGACGACAGCCAAGGGACAAAATAGGCTGAGCCAAAGCACGAGGGATATCACAACGCCACATAATAGGAAACCTGTTGGCAACAATGAAAAACATTGTAAAAGCAGGCACGAGGGACAAAGTATCACTGGGTATAAACTGGTTGAATCAACGTTGTTTCCACATAATTTAAACAGCAAAAATCTGTGATGACATTGAATCAACGTGGAAAACTAATTGGATTTGCAAAAAGCCACCAACGTCAGGGCATTTAGTCTTTTTTTCCACTAAACTTTTAACCTAAATCCAATGACATGGTGAAATGTTTTGTCAGGGTTCACATTGAATTCACATTGACAACTCAACCAAATGTCAATCAAAACTAGATGTTGAACTGACATCTATGCACAGTGGGTAGGCAGCAAGATTAAACTGAAAAAAATTACAAAGGCATAACAGACCAAGAACCATGTTACATTCATAATAACTCTGATGCAGCTGCTATCCTATCCACACAGAGGGACAAACCATTTTTAAAAACTAATGATATATACAGTTATATCTGACTGCCACTTTCTCCTATGGGTCTATGTCACCAATTATTGTGTCTACTGATGCAGACTTGCCCATCACACCAATTAACTCCTTGTCCCGACACTCATCTTCACACAATGTACTAAACATTGTGGAGTTTGTCTTCTGCCTCTTCGTCTTCGCCTCTTTCTCCTGTCCTGCCCCTGACCTTTTTTTTATATCACAAAGATACTTTGAAACACCAGTTGGAAAAAAAGGTGGCATACATAAAAAAATAAACATAAATAAAAATGTTTTGTTTATCTGTCAGTGAAAATAGCCATTGATATGAGCACCATGTGGTGATAAAAGTACCAATAATAACATACCCTCAGGTAGTTGCAGAGGGCTGTGGCTGACATTTTCTCTGGCCAATCAGTATGCTTCTTAATCTCCTCCGAACTGATGCTCTATGTCCTTTTTTTTTTTACCCGTAATCTCCAGAATCCCTATCACTTGAATGCTTTCAAAAGAGAAGTAAAAGCGTTTAAATCCACAGTAACTGTGCTGCTTTTCTGACATGTAGCCTGCAGTATTAACCTATACTATTCGTAAGGGATAAATGCAGACCATCTACATTATCTGGAAATAATGGACAACATAGTAGGGCCGACACGCCACATGTTTTAGGTATTCAAGGACCTGCAACAGACTAACATCCTGTCCAGGGGGTGTACTTGTACATCAAGCTGCAGAAACAGGATATAGGCTGCCTTTTTATCCAGATAATTTATTGGGTAGAGCCATCTACATACCTGCACTCCTCTCTGCCAGCTGAATCATCTCCTGCTCTTCGGGGCTTATGTTCTCTGCAATTAAAACACGTCCTTGGTCACCAGTCATCAAGGTTTCTTATTATTCCTGGTCTTGGAGATGTTTGAACATGTTGTTCTAGCCCAGCAGTAACACATTGATAAGCCAATCAAAGGCTTGATAATTGGTTGATACTAAGCTTGTCATGCGTATTAGTGGCAGTGATTAGCTAGAATTAAAATGCACACACACACATTACGAACTCTCTCCCACACAACTCTCTCTGTGACAGTCCTGGCATATCATACCTAGCTACCTAGTTAGTTAGCTGTATGTTCTAATTAGCTAGATAGTTAAAACATTCATGATGAATGGGCAAGAGCTACCGTATAGCTCAGCAAGAATTCAAAACGCAAAACAGTCACCTAAATTCGCTAGTTACCTTGCAGCTAATGTAGCTAGTTATAGTTACCAACAATGACGAGACAGCCTACAGGGAGGGGGGTGAGGTCTCTGGGTGTGTGGTACCAGGAAAATAACCTCTCACTCAACGTCAACAAAACAAAGGAGATGATTATGGACTTCAGGAAACAGCAGAGGGTGCACCCCCCCTATCCACATCGACGAGACCGCAGTGAAGATGGAAAGCTTCAAGTTTCTTGGCGTACACATCACTGACTAACTGAAATGGTCCACCCACGCAGACAGTGTGGTGAAGAAGGCGCAACAGAGCCTCTTCAACCTCAGGAGGCTGAAGAAATTTGGCTTGGCACCTAAAACCCTCAAACTTTTACAGATGCACAATTGAGAGCATCCTGTCGGGCTGTATCACCGCCTGGTACGGCAACTGCACCGCCCGCAACCGCAGGGCTCTCCAGAGCGTGGTGCGGTCTGCCGAACGCATTACCGGGGGCAAACTACACGCCGTCCAGGACACCTACAGCACCCAATGTCAAAGGAAGGCCAAAAAGATCATCAAGGACATCAACCACCTGAGCCACTGCCTGTTCACCCCGCTATCATCCAGAAGGCGAGGTCAGTACAGGTGCATCAAAGCTGGGACCGAGAGAATGAAAAATAGCTTCTATCTCAAGGCCATCAGACTGTTAAATAGCCATCACTAGCACATTAGAGGCTGCTGTTGCCTATTGAAATCACTGGCCACTTTAAGAAAAGGAACACTTTAATAATGTTTACATATCTTGCATTACTCATCTCATATGTATATACTGTATTCTATAATATTCTACTGTATCTTAGTCCATGCTGCTCTATCATTGCTTGTCCGTATATGTATATATTCTTAAATTCCATTCCTTACTTAGATTTGTGTGTATTGGGTATATGTTGTGAAATTGTTAGATATTACTTGTTAGATATTACTGCACTGTCGGAGCTAGAAGCACAAGCATTTCGCTACACCTGCAATAACATCTGCTAAACATGTGTATGTGACAAATAACATTTGATTTGATTTAATCTACTGAGTAGTTTTAGCCTTAGTTTAACATCCATTAGCTTACCATTCATTTTTACAATGACATTTTTACGTTCATATTTATTAGTGTACTTAAAATCGCTAATAAATGTAGGAAATTGATATAGCTAAATGTATGCAAATGCAAAAATAGCTAGCTAGCTAATAAATGTAGGAAATGAATTAGCTAACTACTTAGCTACCAGCAGAAGGCTACATGTTCATTTTGTGCTTGTGCGGCATAAAATTCTGCGCTCTGATTGGTTTGACGCAGAAAATAATGCTGCGCAGTGATTGGCTTGAATGTACAACGACCAAGGGTAGCTTAAAGAGACAGCTACCTTGTCCCTGGGTACGCTCTGATTTGACCATTTACTGTGGAGGTCCATAAGCAGAGCACGTTTACCCTACATCACTTCCGTTCATCTGATCTGTCAGAAAGACAGCGAAAATGATGTTGTTTGGAAGAATTTCGCAAGCCCTCCTACGGTCCTCAATTATCCAGACCCGTCAACTCTCTGCCTCAGCGGCCCATGGTCATGGAGAGCAAACAGGTAAGCCCACACAAACATTGCTCAAAGGAAACGATTTAGTAATGACAAAGCATAAACATTTGTTTGAAGGACATGATTCCGTAGTGACCTTGCTAGTTAGCGAACGAAACGTTAGCGTGAGGCAGCGTAATAACCGCCAACGTTAGTAATGTAACTAGCTAAGTTAAATCAACCACATACACAGGACTCGTTGGCAGTTCAAGTCCCACCTATACCCATCCTATACTAGCCAGATGGCTTCTAACTACACTACATGACCAAAAGTATGTGGAAACCTGCTCGTCGAACATCTCATTCCAAAATCATTACATTTTAGTCATTTAGCAGACGCTCTTATCCAGAGCGACTTATAGTTAGTGAGTGCATACATTTTTTTTTTTTTTTCATACTGGCCCCCGTGGGAATCGAACCCACAACCCTCGCCTTGCAAGGGCCATGCTCTACCAAATGAGCTACATCCCTGCCGGCCATTCCCTCCCCTACCCTGGACGACGCTGGGCCAATTGTGCGCCCCCCCCATGGGTCTCCCGGTCGCGGCCGGCTACGACAGAGCCTGGATTCGAACCAGGATCTCTAGTGGCACAGCTTCCTTACACCACTGCGCCACTCGGGAGAACATGGGCGTTAATATGGAGTTGGTCCCCCTTTGCTGCTATAACCGCCTCCCACTCTTCTGGGAAGCCTTTGTTGGAACATTGCTGCGGGGATTTTATTTGTCACATGCGCCGAAAACGGGTGTAGACCTTACAGTGAAATGCTTACTTACAAGCCCTTAACCAACAATGCCGTTTTAAGAAAAATAAGTGTTAAGTAAAAAATAGATAATTCATTAATAATTAAAGAGCAGCAGTAAAATAACAGTAGCGAGGCTATATACAGGGTGTACCGGTACAGAGTCAATGTGCGGGGGCACAGGTTAGTTGAGGTAGTCGAGGTATTTCTGATTAATTTTATGTTATTTTAATGGACAAAAAAATTGCCTTTCTTTCGAAAACAAGGACATTTCTAAGTGACCCCAACATTTTGAACGGTAGTGTACATGTAGGTAGAGTTAAAGTGACTATGCAGTAAAATAATAAACAGAGTAGCAGCAGCGTAAAGGGGGGTGGAATGCAAATAGTCCGGGTAGCCATTTGATTAGCTATTCAAGAGTCTTATGGCTTGGGGGTAGAAGCTGTTAAGAAGCCTTAGCCTTTTGGATGTTGTTGCACATTTTAACATGCTGGTAGAAATGAGGTAAAACCGATGTAACTAGGAGCGCCTCCTCTGGATTAGCGTTTTCCTGTTTGCTTATGGCCATATACAGTTCATTGAGTGCGGTCTTAGTGCCAGCATCAGTTTGTGGTGTTAAATAGACAGCTACGAAGAATATAGATGAAAACACTCTTGGTAGATAGTGTGTTGGTGTACGTTAACATAGCTCGCTAAGTAGCTAGTTTAACATTGTTAAATTAGCTAGCTAGCTAGCTAGCCATAGTGTGTTGAATGTTTCATCTCAGACCTAGCTAGCTAGCTAACGTTAGCTCATTATTTTCAGGCAATTAAGAAACCCAATGTTTCAAATGTGTTTCACAATTGTGATTAACAATGTCACGGAGATCAGTTATATAACTAGTAGCCTTGCCAGAAGATCCACTGAGCTGAACTGGGGTCAGAACCAATGTTCCCTCTAATTTTTTTCAGCACTGAGCAAATGTAAGGTCTGCTGAGTGCAAACTTGAACGTTGTGAAATTTCAGTGCAACTTCCAGCGCGGGTTTACTGTGAACACTGAGGCTGTACCCACTTTAAGTTAGTTTTAACAGTGGCAAAGTAGGCTACTGTGGCTATTTGATCATTATGTAGGGCTACCATCAAAAACAATGGGGAAAATGCATCTCATAACATTTTAACATGGAAATAGCTATTCTATCATTAAGCCTACAGTAGCAGCCAATGTGTGGAGTTCAATGTAGGCCTACATTCCATTAGACTTTTGAAGAAAATAACATGCGGGGCTTGACATTAACCTGTCCTTCAGACAAGGTGACTGAAAATGTTGTTTGATGCAAGAAACCACTTTACAAAATAAAATGCATTATTATTCCCATACCATTATTACAGAGAATCAGACATTATGCTACCCTCTGCCTATTGGCAATTTAGCTTATTCAAGCCTGTCTCAAAATACAACACTGCCCCTTTAAGACAAAAATAAGCTCTTTATCTGACTCACTTGTCTAGAAATGTAGACGTTTTGTGCTCTTGTAGGAAGCAAGCGCTCCTATTGCTGACTAAAAATTATCTAAAACTGGGCTACTAATTAGCAAAGGATATTATAAAAATGTGCACACGTGGCTACATGCAGCTTTCGCGACCGCTCATGCTGTAAACACAGTCCAGTTCAAAGTAAATGGCATAGATCCATATATGGCTGTGTTCTATTTAAGCAATACGGTCCGAGGGGGTGTGGTAAATGGCCAATATACCACGGCTAAGGACTGTTCTTATGCACGACGCAACGCGGAGCGCCTGGATACAGCCCTTAGCCGTGGTATTATGGCCATGTGCCATATTGCTATTAGAAACTGGTTACCAAAATAATTAGAGCATTAAAAAGACATGTTTTGTCATACCCATGGTATACGGTCTGATATATCACGGCTGTCAGCCAATCAGCATTCAGGGCTCGAACCACCCAGTTTATAATTGCATATAGGCCTACTGCAGCTCTGATTGTTTATGCTGCACTGGTCTGTGTAGAGTATGGGCTGAATCGTGCTGTTCAATGCAATAGTATCCTACTCTCGACGTGTTCTGCATACAACAAAATCTCTTGCATAGTTTGTTTCGGTATGTTGCATTGAAAGTGGCTAATATTGCATTGATTCAATCACAATTGCAAAAGTAAAGGGAAACATTGATAGTGCTAACAGGAAAAACTCTAGAACAGTGGTCACCAACCTTTTCTGTGTCAAGATCACGTTCTGAATCAAAATGCAAGCTATCTACAGCTCACATTTTCTTTTTTACATGACATAAAAAACGTAAGCCTATGCAACATTAACCAATTAAAAACAGTACTGTAGCTACAGTGAGGGAAAAAAGTATTTGATCCCCTGCTGATTTTGTACATTTGCCCACTGACAAAGAAATGATCAGTCTAATTTTAATGGTAGGTTTATTTGAACAGTGAGAGACAGAATAACAAACAAAAAATCCAGAAAAACGCATGTCAAAAATGTTATAAATTGATTTGCATTTTAAAGAGGGAAATAAGTATTTGACCCCCTCAATCAGAAAGATTTCTGGCTCCCAGGTGTCTTTTATACAGGTAACGATCTGAGATTAGGAGCACACTCTTAAAAGGGAGCGCTCCTAATCTCAGTTTTTTACCTGTATAAAAGACACCTGTCCACAGAAGCAATCAATCAATCAGATTCCAAACTCTCCACCATGGCCAAGACCAAAGAGCTCTCCAAGGATGTCAGGGACAAGATTGTAGACCTACACAAGGCTGGAATGGGCTACAAGACCATCGCCAAGCAGCTTGGTGAGAAGGTGACAACAGTTGGTGCGATTATTCGCAAATGGAAGAAACACAAAAGAACTGTCAATCTCCCTCGGCCTGGGGCTCCATGCAAGAGCTCACCTCGTGGAGTTGCAATGATCAATAGAAACGGTGAGGAATCACCCCAGAACTACACGGGAGGATCTTGTCAATGATCTCAAGGCAGCTGGGACCATAGTCACAAAGAAAACAATTGGTAACACACTACGCCGTGAAGGACTGAAATCCTGCAGCGCCCACAAGGTCCGCCTGCTCAAGAAAGCACATATACAGGGCCGTCTGAAGTTTGCTAATGAACATCTGAATGATTCAGAGGAGAACTGGGTGAAAGTGTTGTGGTCAGATGAGACCAAAATGGAGCTCTTTGGCATCAACTCAACTCGCTGTGTTTGGAGGAGGAGGAATGCTGCCTATGACCCCAAGAACACCATCCCCACCATCAAACATGGAGGTGGAAACATTATGCTTTGGGGGTGTTTTTCTGCTAAGGGGACAGGACAACATCAAAGGGACGAAGGACGGGGCCATGTACCGTCAAATCTTGGGTGAGAACCTCCTTCCCTCAGCCAGGGCATTGAAAATGGGTCGTGGATGGGTATTCCAGCATGACAATGACCCAAAACACACGGCCAAGGCAACAAAGGAGTGGCTCAAGAAGAAGCACATTAAGGTCCTGGAGTGGCCTAGCCAGTCTCCAGACCTTAATCCCATAGAAAATCTGTGGAGGGAGCTGAAGGTTCGAGTTGCCAAACGTCAGCCTCGAAACCTTAATGACTTGGAGAAGATCTGCAAAGAGGAGTGGGACAAAATCCCTCCTGAGATGTGTGCAAACCTGGTGGCCAACTACAAGAAACGTCTGACCTCTGATTGCCAACAAGGGTTTTGCCACCAAGTACTAAGTCATGATTTGCAGAGGGGTCAAATACTTATTTCCCTCATTTAAAATGCAAATCAATGTATACCATTTTTGACATGCGTTTATCTGGATTTTTTGTTGTTGTTATTCTGTCTCTCACTGTTCAAATAAACCTACCATTAAAGTTATAATAATAATATGCCATTTAGCAGACGCTTTTATCCAAAGCGACTTACAGTCATGTGTGCATACATTTTTCTGTATGGGTGGTCCCGGGGATCGAACCCACTAACCTGGCGTTACATGCGCCGTGCACTACCAGCTGAGCTACAGAGGACCACGACTGATCATGTCTTTGTCAGTGGGCAGACGTACAAAATCAGCAGTGGATCAAATACTTTTTTCCCCTCACTGTATGAGATTTGTGCAGTAAGCTATAGGCCCAATACATTATCACTGGATATTGGCTTTGCTTGAATTGCCCTGCCAAATGTATTATTCGGGCCATTTCAAAATAAATATATATATTAATTTTTTTAAACATTTGAGGTAGTCAATATGATCACACCGGTAATAGGTCCGTTGTTGTATTACTTGTGAGGCACAGCTGAGTGAGCATACATTTAAATCATTAGCTTTTTATTTTTATTTTACTGGGCTGATGGTGCCTGCATCTGATGATCAGTCTCAGCAGAGGGAGAGAGCAGCAGACTGAGAGTCCGCCTCTCAACATCCGTACGCACTCTCTTTCCTCTACTGACCAAAAAGGGACACAGTCTTCCAGCTGATAGCGAAACTCGAGTCGCAACGCATTATTAACAACGCAAGCCTATAGATACACTTTCCCACTCATTCATTACTACTGCAGTATTTGTTGTATCGCTGAGTGGAAATGGGAAGAACGCACATTTAATGGCTTATAAAAGTGTTAAATACATAGTGTTGACAGTGCTGAGTAAGAACTTAAACATGAACTCATAAAAACAGCAGCTCTTTGCTGTATTCGTTGACAGTCTCTAGTGATGGTTTTGAAATCTCACAGTATCAACTTTGCTGTAGATTTATTTTTGCCTGCAGACACGGTAATCTGAGCCATCCGATTGGCCAGCGGTAGGCTTATGGTACACTTGATTTGCTCTCCGGGCCTGCCGGGAAGGCACAGTTTGTACCTTCAGACACATGAAATGGTTCAAAATGGCAACCGTTCGCCTACCCGGCGTGCGGGGCAGCTGAATCTGGTGTACCTACCGCCAACAGCCCAAGACGACCCTAAAAATAAATAATAGGAACGCAAGGCTTTATTGTTTGTTTACAGAAATGTTTGATCGATCGACTAGGAATGGCTTGGAGATCGACAAGTCGATAGCGATCAACCGGTTGGTGACCACTTCTCTAGAAAGTTGAGTGAAGTTCGATCTCGTGCTTCTCTCATGGGTTGATATTTCTTCTGAGCAGCAGTCTCGGGGCTGCTGCTCGCCCGCAGCTTAGAAGGAACATTGGTCAGAACGCAATCATGGTTGCATTAAGACACCGTGGAGCCGGCGTGAGATATGGGTCGGAAAACGTACCTCAATGCAGGGATGGGCTACGCCGCCGCACTCCAAATGTTACCTTTATCCACACTGCTCCATCGAGAAGATAGAAATACTTCTAATGTTCCCAGGAAACTGCAATTTGCGTCCTAATGCTAGCTAGCAGTAGCCACCGCAGCCATTTTGGAATGGCAGTGTCAGCCAATCTGCTCTTTTTGTTGTTCAATGTGAGTGCCATTCCATAATGTCTGCTGTGGCTACTGCTAGCTATCATGAGGACGACAAGGGCAGTTTTCCAGGAACACTAGCAGTATTTCAATGTAATCGATGAAGCAGTGTGGTTAAAGGTAACAGACATTTGGAGTACAGTGGCATATCCCATACTAGCTCTCAAACTCTAGGCGGCGTTCTCCCTACAGTTTCAGCTGTTAGCTCACCCACGACTGGCTCATGTGAACTACAATCCCGACACTGTGTTTTAACGTTTAGAAATGTCAATCATCGCTTGCAATACGGCTTTCGAATCATATGGCCCTTTCATCAGCGAGAAAGAATCCTTCAAATAAAAAAGATGCACTTACTGTAGCAGTTTTGCACAGATCCAGATAGCTAATTAGCACAGGTGGTTGCCTCTTTTCCATAAACAAGCGTTGTAACATGGAGATATGGCCATGTGGGAACACTATTTTATTTTATTTTTCTCGCTGATATGAAAGATAAGGTCCTTATGCTTCCAAAACCATACCGCAAGCAATGTTAATGTTCAGACCGATAAAAAGGGAAACCTAGTTAATTTTTTGTTATTTAATTAATCTCTCCTGGTTTGTCTTTCAAGCATCCACGTTGGTTTGCATCTTCCTGATATCCAATAAGGAGGGGACTTGCAGTGCGTGGCGCGTCTCAAATAGAACCAAGTAGGATGCAAGAATTGAGCCTAACGGGTAGCCAGCAGCCTTACTTTCCCGTTGAACTCATCTTTCTTCTCGAATCCGCAGGACATAAAACAATATAGAGGTAAAATGGATATCGATTTGAGACATGACATTTAGTATTTTCATATTTTAGTATACACTTTTCATATTAATTTGAAATTCCTGTTATATTTCAAAGGTTTCTCACAAAAATGTGCGTTTTGTCTGTGAAATGTCAACTGAGCACTGAGTGTATACCAAGCTTTTTATTTTCAAAGCCTTTTACATTTAATTCAGCTCATGTCATGCTAACTTAGCTTTTTGCGACCGGCAGAAACAACTTTGAAGACGACGACCATAAAATGTAAAATCCTCAAAAGTTGTTACGAGAAACATGCACCGCTATGTCAGAGCTCTGTGCTTATGATCAGATGTATTGGGTTATGAAATCTGACTTTTTGGATAGAGCGCATTCGGGAAGTTTTCAGACCCCTGCCCTTTTTCAAAATGTTACGTTACAGCTTTATTCTAAAATGGATAAAATAAAATAAAATCCTCATCAATCTACACACAATACCCCATAATGAGCGAAAACAGGTTTTTAGTCATTTTCGCAAATGTATTAAAAATAAACAGACCTTTTATTTACGTAAGTATTCAGACACTTTGCTATGAGACTTGAAATTGAGCTCAGGTTCATCCTGTTTCCATTGATCATCCTTGAGATGTTTCTACAACTTGATTGGAGTCCACCTGTGGTAAATTCAATTGATTGGAAATTATTTGGAAAGGCACACACCTGTATATATGAAGTCCCACAGTTGACAGTGCATGTCAGAGCAAAAACCAAGCCATGAGGTGGAAGGAATTGTCCGTAGAGCTCCGAGACAGGATTGTGTTGAGGCACAGATCTGGGGAAGGATAACAAAACATTTCTGCAGCATTGAAGGTCCCCAAGAACACAGTGGCCTCCATCATTCTTAAATGGAAGAAGTTTGGAACCACCAAGACTTCCTAGAGCTGGCCGCCCGACCAAACTGAGCAATCGGGGGAGAAGGGCCTTGGTCAGGGAGGTGACCAAGAACCCGATGGTCACTCTGACAGAGCTCCAGAGTTCCTCTGTGGAGATGGGAGAACTTTCCAGAAGGACAACCATCTCTGCAGCGCTCCACCAATTAGGCCTTTATGGTAGAGTGGCCAGGTGGAAGCCACTCCTCAGTAAAAGGCACATGCCCGCTTGGAGTTTGCCAAAGGCACCTAAAGGACTCTGACCATGAGAAACAAGATTCTCTGGTCTGATGAAACCAAGATTGAACTCTTTGGCCTGAATGCCAAGCGTCACGTCTGGAGGAAAGTTGACTGATGTTCAATCTCGTGCTTCTCAGCACGGGCTGATATTTCTTCTGCGCAGCAGTCCCGGGGGAGCTGCGTGCCCGCAGTTTAGAGGGAATATTGCCGATAGGTACTTAGCATAGTAGGAGGCCCTTCCTTCTCTTTCTAGAACAAGACGTCCCTGCTGTGTACCGACGAACCTGTCATTTTCTACTTGTAGAATCGCAATGCTTGTCAGTGGCCGAGAACTTGACTTTGAGCCAATCGGAGAGCACAAACCTCCACGTCGGGGAGCCGACAGAAGTGACAAGAAAAATAAAGAGGGCACTTTTCCCGGTGTAATCCACCCCCATTTCATCAGATTTATTCTAACTAAAACAAAGCTGCATATTTTTTTTCTAGATCAAGTCTATACATATTTTACATATAGCTAAGGAGTTTTGTGCATTTTTTTTGTTGGGTTCAGTTTGATAATGTGCACATGCTCGTTAGCTAGCTAACATTAGCTTGCTAACTGAGCCAGGCAGTCACACACTTCATATGAAACGATTGGGGTGGTAAGTGCAGCACAATGCACACGACACTAAATGCTTTACCAAGCTAGCTACCTAGCAAGATGACAAATAAAAAAATTTATTCACACTATTATCCCATACTGCTAGTTCGCGTTCTAGCTAAACAGTTCGCATCGCCATTTAGCACAATATAGCTAGCTAACTTCTCCACTGACTCGCAGCAGCTTCATTCAAAAACAAATCCATTGTGATTTAATTATAATGTTGCTAGTTATCTAGTTTTGGCCATCTGGTTAGTATCAACATGGGCTTACTGCAAATGCTAGCTAGCAACAGCATTCACGCAGCTTGCTAGTTAGCTTACATTAGCTACAGCAAGCACAAGCCAAACGAGCTAGTGCAACCTGGCATGTTTAAACAAAGCAAATCTGAAGTAAAACTGTTCTGTGAACAAAAAGTTAACTGCTGACACCCCTGGGCAGAGTTGCTAAGTACCTACCTATCGGCAGTCAGATTTGTGTGTCTGACCTTTAAAATTAGGCAGGAAACAAGTCAGAGGAGGTTTTTTGGAAATGGCATCTCAACAGTACATAACCTGCACCTGTTGCACTTTGGTGGTTTGGTTGCCTTTGACATTGACACACGCAGAGATTGAGATACTTGATCTCAATGGTTTGTACCCCTGTGCACACATTTTAAAAGGAAAGTGGTTAGATTTAGCATTCCAGTGTGATCAAAAAAGCATGTTTTCATCATGTATCGGTTACATCACAATGTGAAAAACTGAAAATAAAGATAAAATGTATTGTTTAAGTGTAAAAGCCTTTGCTTCAGTGTTACTCAAACATGAAATTCATTTTGTTCTTTGTTTCTTCTCCAGCCAGAACATGGAAGATCCTCTCCTTTGTAGTTGCCCTTCCGGGGGTTGCAGTGTGCATGTTGAACATGTACCTGAAGATGCAGCACCATGCTGCACACCATGTGGAGCCCGAGTTCGTCCCATACAGCCACCTTCGCATTCGCAGCAAGGTCTGATTCAAGTTTTTTTTTTTTATGTATGGCAAAATACTAAATGCAGACAGTTATTGTTGCAAAACACATCTCTCTATGATCATATACTTTTTGGGATTATAGTCTCTTTAATTTTGCCTGGAGTATTTACACATTTTTAATGTGCCCCCTGTTAGTTGAATTTGTCATTATGTTAACTTGACTCTTGTCTCTCACCAGCGTTTCCCATGGGGTGATGGCAACAAGAGCCTGTTCCACAACCCTGAATTGAATGCCCTCCCTGATGGCTATGAAGGACGTGACGAGTGAGATCTCTCCCTCCAGACCGCCTCATACACTGGGACCAGAGTCTTCCCTCAATTCTTTACTGTTACTAGACCACACTCTCCAAACAGTTTACTCTCCTCTATTCCATAATGTTTACCTATGTGCACTTGTCACAAGGGACTCAATGTTAGTTACATTTTTCTGGACCATTTAACACAATGTGTGCTTAAACTTAACTAAAATAAATATTACTGAAATGTGTGTTTTGTCATTAACTCAAAAAATGTACACTCAGGTGGTTTCTAATGTCTGTTTCTCTATCGATTAAGTCTGCTATGTTTGGAGTGACAAAAGGAGTTTAGAAATTCGTGTTTCAGAACGACGCACTGTTTGACCCTATTTGCTTCCCCTTCTTTCACATGACTAACTTCTTGTGACTCGCATTCTTCTAGCAAGCGAGTAGCTATCGTTAGTTTCTCTGTTTTCAATTGTCTATCAAATTGTCTGTAACAAAGGAGTCAAGTTTTGTAAAGTTAAGAAATGTGAAAGTATTGTTGTCCGGCTGAGATGGCAACTTTAAATGTATTACTTTGAAGACCTGGAGAAAGACTGCGTCAACATCATTTGGAAGCAGCTTGATAGGTTGGGTAAGGTAAATGTCAGCCAGCTGGTAGCTTGCTAGACATGAAAATTCTGATTTGTGAAATTACGCTTCTAGCTAACGTTACATGCTAGTATAAATACTTTGGGCTATTCTGTTCAGTGTGTGGTCTTACGTTTTTTTAATCAAGCAGTCGCTAATTGCCACCAGTTGGTTCAATAGCGAAGGCATGGCATATCAAATTATGAAAAACAGTAGGCCTAGCTGTCTGCATTGTACCTTGCTACGATATAACATTCACAAGTAATGAATGCACTTGTTTTATTAATCACCGGCTTTATAAAGGTAGGGAGTGTGTGGAGGACAGACTGAGAGAAGAAGAACAACCAATGGCAGCTATGGCTGAGATCATTGTGCCTGACTCAAGAAGGTGGGACTGTCACCTCTGATCTGAGGTTCTATTATAATTCATGCCCTTCATTGAATTCCTATCCTTTTTTTTCTGCCATGCAATAGTCCCTACTTGGGTTTCTAATGTTAGTATGGGTATTTTCCACTCAATCAGATTTCTTGGTGATTTGCAGATGCATCAACTTCTTCCTATATGATGGGTCAAAGGTCAAGGGTGAGGGTGACCCTACAAGAGCTGGCATCTGCTACTTCTATCCTGAAGAGGTAGGGACGTCAGAAGTGTGTATGTGTTCCCTAGATGAGATTATTGATACTGTGTATTAAGAATGATTACTTGATTGTGTTAATGATCCCCTACCAATTGGATGAGTAGAGTGAAGGATGGTTCTTTGCCTTTGATTTCTTCCAGACGCCTCTGGATAAGCAGGAGCTGCTTTGTGGGCAGCTGGCAGGCGTGAGCCGCTGTGTCTCTGAGCTCTCCTCCTCCCCTGTACGTCTGCTCAGGCTGCGGCGTAGCAAGTTCGCCATCCGCATGAAAGACAACTTTTTGTGGGTGAGTTGCGCCATAATCTTGTTACTAGACACTTCCGCCCGAGGTTAGTTGCACCGTAGCCTGAAACCACACCACACCATAGTGCATAGTTGTCATATATGTCAAAGTCTATAACATATCTTCAGATGTTTGAGCAAAAGGTTACAGATAAGGTGCTATGGTCTTATTGATACATTCACCGATATCTCGGATGGATAGACTATTGTAATGAGAATGCTCATCCCCTAAACCGGTCTTTCTTTAGTGATGTTTTTGTCTATCCATCCCCTGTGTATATGTCATAATTACTCTCCATGTTGCCCTCCCTCAGGCCTTAAGCTGTTCATTGGAAATACCAGACGTCAGTATATGTGACTTCCTGGATCAGCTGATAAATCTCTTTAGTTTCTGTAACGGCCCTATCCGCCAGAGCTACCAGGTACATTCATCTCTAACACTTAATAGTGATGGGAAGTTTGCGTATTTTTACTGACTGGTCTTTTCGACTCATTCAGTCAAAATAAGAAATCTTTCGACTCCTTTTGTTCATTTTAATCAGTAATGCCCAGAACACGCAGGACCTCCTACCGGCGAACGATGAACTGAAATGTCGTCAGGGCCGGTTCCCCCGGTGGCCCTAAGCGACCGCTTATGTCACTTATGCCTGGAACCGGCCCTGACGACGTGAACGAGAGGCTTGTAGAATCATGACTCTTGAGTTTTCAGTTCATCGTTCGCCGGTAGGAGGTCCTGCGTGCCCCCTATGGTGAACGAGATGTGACCTCCAGCGCCCCCCCCCCCCCCCCCCCATTTGATTTTGTTAGCCATTCTCACTCAGATATCATATTAACATGGCATAAGTCATTACAAAATGTGTAGAATTGCATGAAATTCACTTTAAAACTAAAGAAAATTATCTCCACCGTCAAGAAGGGGGCCACTAAAATTTTTGCCATAAGGTGGGGAGTCCCCCAACCCAGTCTCGCTTAGGGCCCTTAAAAGGCTAGAGCCGGCCCTGCATGTGGTTCACCATAGGATGCTTATTGGAGCTGTCATTTGTGACACATGTAAAAGTGTGCTTTAAACAATGTACATTTGTTGATTACTAGGAATACAAATAAGATTATTTCTTCATACGTTTGAAACGAGGTCTACTTGTGGGCGCAACCGGACTAGATTCTGAGCTACTCTTGGCGGAAAGCATTGCTTGACTGCCGTGAGGGTGATAAGCATAATATTGTCAGAACTGCAGCCCTCCAAACTATTCGTTTTCGAGTGTGTTGAGCAGAGGCTGTGTATGTTTTGGTTCTGTAAAGCTGTGTCCATCATAACATTCAATAATCAATTCATTGAATTAATTATTGAACCATGCAATCAATTATCAGTTCTAATAAACATGTCATTTTGCTCTTTATGCTGCCTACAGCATGGTCTGTTTTCCTTCGCGTAGGCCTATATATGACAGACAGTTGGTAGTCGGATCGCGTCTCTGGAGCTGCTGAGCCAGAGGAGCATGTATCAATCTTGTTGTAGGACTCATTGCGGCCAGCTGATCAAACGAAAAACGAATCCTGACTCTCGAGTCAGTAAAAAGAGGCGTTCGAAAATAAATGAATCGTTGCGAACTGCACATCACTAACACTTATCTTAGCTGTGTACAGTCGTGGTCAAAAGTTTTGAGAATGACACAAGTATTGGTCTTCACAAAGTTTGCTGCTTCAGTGTTTTTAGATATTTTTGTCAGATGTTACTATGGTATACTGAAGTATAATTACAAGCATTCCATAAGTGTCAAAGGCTTTTATTGACAACTACATTAAGTTTATGCAAAGAGTCAATATTTGCAGTGTTGACCCTTCTTTTTCAAGACCTCTGCAATCCGCCCTGGCATGCTGTCAATTAACTTCTGGGCCACATCCTGACTGATGGCAGCCCATTCTATGCTTGGAGTTTGTAAGAATTTGTGGGGTTTTGTTTGTCCACCCGCCTCTTGAGGATTGACCACAAGTTCTCAATGGGATTAAGGTCTGGGGAGTTTCCTGGCCATGGACCCAAAATGTCGATGTTTTGTTCCCCGAGCCACTTAGTTATCACTTTTTCCTTATGGCAAGGTGCTCCATCATGCTGGAAGAGGCATTGTTCGTCACCAAACTGTTCTTGGATGGTTGGGAGAAGTTGCTCTCGGAGAATGTGTTGGTACCATTCTTTATTCATGGCTGTGTTCTTAGGCAAAATTGTGAGTGAGCCCACTCCCTTGGCTGAGAAGCAACCCCACACATGAATGGTCTCAGGATGCTTTACTGTTGGCATGACACAGGACTGATGGTAGCACTCACCTTGTCTTCTCCGGACAAGCTTTTTTCCGGATGCCCCAAACAATCGGAAAGGGAAATTACTTTACCCCAGTCCTCAGCAGTCCAATCCCTGTACCTTTTGCAGAATATCAGTCTGTCCCTGATGTTTTTCCTGGAGTGAAGTGGCTTCCTCGCTGCCCTTCTTGACACCAGGCCATCTTCCAAAAGTCTTCGCCTCACTGTGCGTGCAGATGCACTCACATCTGCCTGCTGCCATTCCTGAGCAAGCTCTGCACTGGTGGTGCCCCGATCCGGCAGGTGAATCAACTTTAGGAGACGGTCCTGGTGCTTGCTGGACTTTCTTGGGCGCACTGAAGCCTTCTTCACAACAATTGAACCTCTCTCCTTGAAGTTCTTGATGATCCGATAAATGGTTGATTTAGGTGCAATTTTACTAGCAGCAATATCCTTGCCTGTGAAGCCCTTTTTGTGCAAAGCAATGATGACGGCACGTGTTTCCTTGCAGGTAACCATGGTTAACAGAGGAAGAACAATGATTTCAAGCACCACCCTCCTTTTTAAAGCTTCCAGTCTGTTATTCTAACTCAATCAGCATGACAGAGTGATCTCCAGCCTTGTCCTTGTCAATACTCTCACATGTGTTAACGAGAGAATCACTGACATGATGTCAGCTGGTCCTTTTGTGGCAGGGCTGAAATGCAGTGGAAATGTTTTTTTGGGATTAAGTTAATTTTCATGGCAAAGAGGGACTTTGCAATTAATTGCAATTCATCTTATCACTCTTCATAACATTCTGGAGTATATGCAAATTGCCACCATAAAAACTGAGGCAGCAGACTTTGAAAATTAATATTTGTGTCATTCTCAAAACTTTTGACCACGACTGTACAGCAATCTGTCATATCCATATCATGTCCTATTTTCACATAGATGTGTGTTAATCAAGGAATTGTTTTTTGCTAATGCTAAATATGCCTCCCTCTGATTTGCATTGCTTTAAGATGTACAGTCAGGAAGATTTAGCTGTTCGATGGACCCGGTACCTCTCCCACTTACAAGGAGGTGCCACTGAACTGCACCACATCTTCAGTGTCTTGAGCACCATTGACTCTACACATGTAAGTAATAAGAAGTCTGTTGGGCATGATATCGGTAAGGTTTGCTACCTCAGATAATATCATACGGTTGCTTATTTTATTAAATTCACTCATACAATTACTATGTATTCTATCTATTTCATTTATATTTTTAGTTGATTTACTTCTGGCCTAGCCTGGCAATTATTTCCTTGTTTCATGCATGTCATTTTGATTCTCAGATTGACCCCCTTCTCCTACTCAAGGCTGCCCTCATTCTGCAGGCCTGTCAACGCTGCCCCCTTGTGTTAGCTGGTTGTGTACTTTACTGTGGGAGGTAAGCGGTCTGACCTTTGCAGCAGCAAAGTGCTGGAATAGTTAACCACAGATTAGAACCAGACACGAACTGTATATATAAACGTGTCTTTGCTCCATAGGGTTGTCAGCACACAGATGCCCCCTGATCTCACAGTGAAAGTCATGGTTCATGAAACGGAAACATACAAACAGGTAGATAACAATGGCTGATAATTTAGGTGCTTCTCTCATTTGAGATTTTAATTTGATCTTGTGATCATCTTAATTAGTTGAGATTCGTTGGGTTGTTGTATTATGCATCAATATCTTAATACAAAAGCTATACTTAAGATTGTTTTACAAAGTCAGCAGTTTGTTTAGTCACAGGCCTCGCCATACATTTTTGCTTATGCTTATATATTGCTCTAGGACCAGAGACCCAATGGACTGAGTTCCTCCAGCTCTTCTGGCAGCACTCCTCTATCTAGCCCAGTGACCTCCACCACTGTGTTCCTGACCGCCACTGAACTACAGTATCTCCGCTCCTCTCCCGTGGACAGAGAATCCAGGTACTTCACCCCCCTCCACTGTATAAAGTATATCCTTTTCTGGTAAACAATAACTAGAGTGAGTTACAAGATGTTCCGTCCTGATACAGTAAGCTCAAAGCCAAGTGAAAGTGAGGGTTAGACAAGTTTGGAATGGTTGCCTCCCTGATATGAGGGTAAATCGTTGAGCCTCTGTCTGTCCTGCAGATCCCAATCTACCCAATCTACTCCAAAGGAAGTAAACCGACCTAGGAAGTCCCGCCTCCTGTCAAGAACCCTATCTGACACACCAACCACTGATCTGCTTGACCCAGACCCCACCCACTACGCTCCACTATCCCTCCATTATCCCTCCACCCCCCAGTCAACTATATCTGATGAGTTGCTATTTAGCCCAAGTCCTTCATTTCACACTCCTGGCCCTCTCAGTCCTTCACCTATCAAGGTCGCTCCAAAGACCTCTGGTCATACCTTGTCCAATGGAAAGCTGTCCCATGAGGTGGAGGAAGGTGTCACAGGAAGTTTGTACGACCACAGTTTTAACAGCATAGATGGTGGGAGAGATGAGTCGGGTCTTGCAGGAGGAGGCAGGTCAATGCAAAACAAGGACCTGCGTCACGTCAGTGGACAGAATGGAGGTAGTATTGTACTGGGTGGAGAGAAAGCTGGAGCCCTCAGGTTCAGAGGTCAGGAGTCCCCAGAGCCTGGCAGTCAGAGGATGGGGAATGTGGCAGAGAAGGAGGTGTTTAAGGAGAAGGAGGGACAGGGGGGTAAAGGTTTACTGCAGGCTGACACTTGTGATGTGCCCCCCTACTCTTCTTCACCCTGTGAGAACTCTATAGAGGCCCCTCTGCTCCCCATGTCGTTGTACCAGCACAGGGTGAGAGGGCTGGTACTGGCCCTACTGGTGGAGCCAAAATTCCACAGTGACACTGCAGCCACGGAGGAAGTGGTGAGGAACTTTTGGGGAATATGGGAGGGATATGAATGTTTGTTCATGCATGAGTGTTCCACAAGAGTTTCCTCCTTTTGGACCACCACCTGTGTTCAACCGTTATGAAATTAAATGTCTACTATTGCCCTACATGTTAGTACAGCAGTTTGATATTTGGTCTACTGTCTCATCATGTGGTTTATGCTCAGTATCACAGCAGCCTGGCATCTTTGAACGGACTGGAGGCACATCTGAGGACCACTGTTCCAGGGGCCCCCGGCCCACATGGACCATACACCTTTGCACACTTTGACTGTATACAGAACACGCTCACAAGTGAGGCTCTAATATTCTCAGAATATTCTATACTTATTTTTTCCACCTTTGTCTGACCCTTACCTTTTCCCTCTCTCTCTTTGTCTGTTTTTGTCTGATATTTATGGAACCATGTCTTTCAGTTTCCCAGTGTTGACCTTACTGTTAGAGTGAGTAGTAAGCTCCGTGCTTTGCAGTAGCTGATTGGGATGTTTTGGGGCATTTTGTGTTAGCTGATTTGGATATTTTGGGGTACTTACCGGTCATTTGAGCAACTAGGACCCTGTACACGATCTCAGGCTTTTTTCTTGCATGGTTGATTGTCCTCCATGTTTGTGTGGTATTTGTAACGAGTGACTGCTGTGTGTCCCTGCAGCCAACCTGTCTGGCAGGCCAGGGGGAGCCCAGGAGTGTTCCTTTGTGAGAGCCACATCACTGCTCCACTCGCATTTCTCTCACACTGAAGCTCTGCAGGAGGCTATTGTCAGGTCAGTATGACAAGCAGTGATGGAGGGGGCTCTCACCATGCGTTACTCCTCAAGCCAGATAATGGGGGAAGGGGAACAGAGGCCATCATTATGTCGTTTGTATTATCTGAAAAGATAAGTCCTTGAGTGTTTTGGCATTGAGTTGTATGTATAATGTTTATACACAATGTTTATACCACAGGAGCGCGGGTACAGCTGTGTACGGGACCCGCAGTGTGGCCCAGGAGACGTACTTCCTGCAGCAAGGTGGAGCGTTGAGAAACTCTGGTATTCCTAACCACCAGGACAGCGCTTTCTCTCTGCCCAGCAAGGCCCGACACAGATTAATGAAACATGGGGTAAACCTGCTCTGACTGACCGTGGCAAGGAGAGTTCCACCAGCACCTTTCTCCACTCAGTCACTGCTCTGAATATGATCCTATTTAAATTCAGTTCAAACACTGTACTTACACTGATCCTTTCTGCCAAGGTAATATAAGCACTCTTAAAGAATTATAGGAAGTTGGATGTATTTAGCTTTTTCTGTTATTGCGTGGAGTTTAAGAAATGTCTGCTTTATCTGTAATGTCGTCACTTGTCTGCTTTGCTGCATGGTTCTTTCACTATCTTGGTCAGGTCATTATTGTACAACAGAATGTGTTCTCAATAACCAACCTGGTTAAATAAAATAAGCTATTTACCAGAATTGTGGTCAAGTCCTACACTGTGTTGTGTTAATGTGCACAGGGCCATGGTCTTTGTCAAACTGCAGACATTTTCACAATATATAATGAAATTCCAAACCAACACACCACATGAGCTTATACAGAACAAGTGGTGTTGTGTAACAAATACTTAATGTACCAACTTCATGACATGGCTGCTGGGTTTCCTAATCACTGTAATCCCCTTCGTTTGGATGAAGAAAATCGGCTACCATTGAATCCTTTACCACCACCCACAAATGGGTTTTAATCATGTCATACCCATAGATTACATACTGTATGTAGAATTAAAAAAACTAATTACAGATATCATGTAATTATTGTGTACTCTTGGATTTCCTTATGGGGTTGATTTTGATCGTCTACTCAAAAGCCATTGCATAAACTCAATGTGATACTCTGATTAATAAGCACATCAATGCTTTTCCAATAATATCATATTTACAAAGACTGCAGTTTGCTAAAAATGAATGGCTGATTCTTGAAAAAAGTATTTTTGTCAATACATCTTGGTCTTATGGCAAGCACTTTTTCTTCCAAGTAAACTATTTCAAATGCATGTAATCTAATGTGGTTATTTACAATAAATCCACCGATGTATGGATGAATTAGTAAATTAACTATATGTTAATTGTCTTGTCTAAATAAGCTGCACATTGTACTCTAAATTATAGGGGCCACCGTGGTCCCTATAGTGCCATATGATACGGCGCCCGCAGCACTTTACCAACACTAAAGTACGAACACCAACCCCACTTGTTATCATGGTAATTATATTGCTTTGGGTAAAGTGGAGGAACAATGACTCAATGTAAGTTGACATGGAATGTAAGATAATTTGGGACTGGATAACATATAGGACTGTCTACGTGCGAAATCTATCCATATAGAAAGTAACCTCGGTTTCTGTGCCTTTTGTGTGTCTTGTAAATGATGGTCTAAATATAGTGTAATTAGGGTCATTAGACACGTAGCTGAATTTGAATGACTGGAGTAGGTGTTCTCGGGGTGCCTTATTATGCAAGCGAATTTTATGGGCCAGTGGGGTGCTAATGGTTGGTTAGGGGTACGAACAAAACAGGGGGTGGAGAAACATAATTAAAATTCTAAGTGGCAGAATGTCCGGCCATTTTCAGCGTAAAGGCATACCCTTTAAACCACGGAGATAAGCGGTCCTTTTCAGAAACACTGCACCACTGGACGGAGCTGGTACAACTCTAGTGGAGCACTCCAACTACGGACCCACCACCATGGCTTTTACCGCCTTCTCTTGGATTGCCTTAATTTGTCTATCTATGACTACTCATTTAATTGGAGTACAGTGTCGCGCGGTTAAGGAGTTACTGTCAACGTCATCCGCTTTTCAGGATGGACACAATACTTTACACACAGATATCTTGAGACGGTGGCGACGGGAGAGCGAGGCGACACAGCGGCAACATTGCGCACTGTTGGCAGTGCCTTGGATAGAAACCAACGCGCTCCCGATGGATTTGGCACAGCTACATCGTCTCCGGGTGCTTTCAATGCCCCAAGGAGGTTTACGGCGTGCAGTCTTTCCAGAGCAACCTCTATTCCGTTTTGTCAGACGGGTCTATCATTGCTGTCAGTTACGTTTCCATTGCAGAGGCGTCAAGGGGATTCAGGGTCGTATCAGTGGAGGTAGGAATCTAAATCCAGTCATTTGAAGTAGATTCTCAGCCATTTATTGTGCCTACTATTGGACTAAATAAGTAGGCCTATGTAGACAGACATACAATAAAGAATCTCAATTCAAAGTGCCTTTTAGACTTGGGTTTTATAGAAAATAACATTCATTCTAGTGAGAAATGGGGCCACTGTCACATTCTGAGTGGTACTTTTTTCATTTAGGCCTTACATAATGATTTTATTTTTCCCACTAGATACAGACATGGAGTTCCTTCTCAGTCAGGATGTTCTGTCAGTGACAGTTATGAGAGCTGAGATTCATCTCCATGTGTTGAATCCTCAACAGCTGAACATTGAGCCTGTTCTTTCCTACATGGCAAAACGCAAGCTTCCCACACGGTAAGAGTCCTGGTTGACATGATTGCACACTTACTTAGCTGTATTACCTCAACTTTTTATATAACTATATTCCATATCTATGGAAACTGAAAGATGTGATTATGAGGCTAAAGTACTATGGTCCTGACTCCACTCTTAACCTTTTTATTCCACAGATACAGTTTGTGGTCAAAAGATAACGTTCTGGAGCTTCAAGTGGATCTGCTGTTCCTATTCCAAGGTCTTCAGGAGGCAGCTGGTGGTGCCATAGGGGGGCCAAGCCTAGTTGACATGCGGAAAGTGGGGGAGCTTTCAAGTGGGGGTTCACGAGAAAGGCCAGGAGCTCCATGGTCTCTGCAGGATACCAATGCTGATCTGTGGGGGGAGGGGCTGGGCCCCCTGCTGACCAATGCGGAGTTGGGCCTTGCCCTGAACTGTGACATGGGGGGAGTGGAGGTATCTTGTGAGCAAAATGGAGTCCACCTATTACACTCTCCATTCATTGCTCTCTCCTACAGATAAAGATGACACAAACCAGGATTGTACACACTATCACATTTTACCTTGCGTTGCTCCATAACCCCATCTCCATGTTGTCTCTACTGTCCTTAAGTCTATGAAGTTGAATTTATTTTTCTGAGGGCAACAACTTTGATTATTGTTATGTGAAGGCAGTGGACGTGATGTGTTTTCTACCAATTTTTGGCTCAATAATCACATTTTTTATATATATTTTTATGTTATACCCCAACATGTATGGGGATCTGTGCACTTCAGCAAATGCTTGTATATATTAACTTATCTGTAAAGATGCAAATATTGTATATAATCACATATGTTTATTGGAAATGTGTTTGTTTTTCTTTTATTGAAACTCAATCTTATTAAATTTGCAAAACTATGGCTGATGTGTCTGTCTCTCTTTTTGCATTAAACAAAAGTTGTTCATAATAGGGTACAGTGCTACATTGTGACAACAATCTCATTATCTTGTATTTTATGTATGTGTGCTTCTCTTGTTGTTTTCTCAGTTTTTTCACCTGCAGTTTTCAAGCAACAGGTGGGGGTGTTCTCTCTCAGCTGACAGTGTACTATTTACCAGAGAAAAAAATAATGACCTTCTCTTGCTAGGCACAAGTTTTGACAGTTGGTGTGGAAAAAGAACTCCACCTGGACTACTAAATCATGAGAAACCAACAGCTAGCAAAAACATCTATGCTGAGTTGTTGACACTTAATTGGCCATGGGATGGCTAATAAGAAATTGCTATGAGTTATAAATGAGGGAAAAGGAAAAATAAGAAAAAACACGTCAACAACAAACTCAATTTCATAATACAGTCAAACGGGGAAACATTGCATATAGAGGTAAAAATGTCAATAGTATTACAGTAGTAATATATTATGTAGGCAGAAGCCAAGCAAAAGGGGTCTGGACTGGTTTTGATTAGAAAGGATATTTGTATTTATTAAGGATCCCCATTAGCTGCTGCCAAGGCGGCCAGCATGTCAACACTTCTTACAAAAACAAGTAGTGATGAAGTCAATCTCTCCTCCACTTTGAGCCATGAAAGATTGACATGCATATTATTAATGTTAGCTCTCCGTGTACATTTAAGGGCCAGCCGTGCTGCCCTGTTCTGAGCCAATTGTAATTTTCCGAGGTCCCTCTTTGTGGCACCTGACCACACGACTGAACAGTAGTCCAGGTGCGACAAAACTAGGTCCTGTAGGACCCGCCCTGTTGATATTGTTCGTTAAAAAGGCAGAGCAGCGCTTTATTGTGGACAGACTTTTAGCTACTGTTGTATCAACATGTTTTTACCATGACCGTTTACAATCCAGGGTTACTCCAAGCAGTTTAGTCACCTTAACTTGCTCAATTTCCACATTATTTATTACAAGATTTAGTTGAGGTTTAGTGAATGATTTGTCCCAAATACAATGCTTTTACTTTTTAAAATATTTAGGACTAACTTGTTCCTTGCCACCCATTCTGAAACTAACTGCAGCTCTTTGTTAAGTGCTGCAGTGATTTCACTCGCTGTAAGTAGCTGACATGTATGGTGTTGAGTCGTCCGCATAGGCTACAGTTTTTGTCAGATTTGCCTTTTCGTAGCAGGTTAGGGCAACTTACGCAGCAGTTTAGGATAATTAGGTTAAGGGTAGGACAAGAGTTAGGGTTAGCTAAAATGTAAAAATATATACACTGCTCAATAAAATAAAGGGAACACTTAAACAACACATCCTAGATCTGAATGAATGAAATAATCTTATTAAATACTTTTTTCTTTACATAGTTGAATGTGCTGACAACAAAATCACACAAAAATTATCAATGGAAATCAAATGTATCAACCCATGGAGGTCTGGATTTGGAGTCACCCTCAAAATTAAAGTGGAAAACCACACTACAGGCTGATCCAACTTTGATGTAATGTCCTTAAAAGAAGTCAAAATGAGGCTCAGTAGTGTGTGTGGCCTCCACGTGCCTGTATAACCTCCCTACAACGCCTGGGCATGCTCCTGATGAGGTGGCGGATGGTCTCCTGAGGGATCTCCTCCCAGACCTGGACTAAAGCATCCGCCAACTCCTGGACAGTCTGTGGTGCAACGTGGCTTTGGTGGATGGAGCGAGACATGATGTCCCAGATGTGCTCAATTGGATTCAGGTCTGGAACGGGCGGGCCAGTCCATAGCATCAATGCCTTCGTCTTGCAGGAACTGCTGACACACTCCAGCCACATGAGGTCTAGCATTGTCTTGCATTAGGAGGAACCCAGGGCCAACCGCACCAGCATATGGTCTCACAAGGGGTCTGAGGATCTCATCTCGGTACCTAATGGCAGTCAGGCTACCTCTGGCGAGCACATGGAGGAATGCCACCCCACACCATGACTGACCCACCGCCAAACCGGTCATGCTGGAGGATGTTGCAGGCAGCAGAACGTTCTCCACGGCGTCTCCAGACTCTGTCACGTCTGTCACATGTGCTCAGTGTGAACCTGCTTTCATCTGTGAAGAGCACAGGGCGCCAGTGGCGAATTTGCCAATCTTGGTGTTCTCTGGCAAATGCCAAACGTCCTGCAAATCAAATCAAATCAAATTTTATTGGTCACATGCGCCGAATACAACAGGTGCAGACATTACAGTGAAATGCTTACTTACAGCCCTTAACCAACAGTGCATTTATTTTAAACAAAAAAAGTAAGAATAAAACAACAACAAAAAAAGTGTTGAGAAAAAAAGAGCAGAAGTAAAATAAAGTGACAGTAGGGAGGCTATATATACAGGGGGGTACCGTTGCAGAGTCAATGTGCGGGGGCACCGGCTAGTTGAGGTAGTTGAGGTAATATGTACATGTGGGTAGAGTTAAAGTGACTATGCATAAATACTTAACAGAGTAGCAGCAGCGTAAAAAGGATGGGGTGGGGGGGCAGTGCAAATAGTCCGGGTAGCCATGATTAGCTGTTCAGGAGTCTTATGGCTTGGGGGTAGAAGCTGTTGAGAAGTCTTTTGGACCTAGACTTGGCACTCCGGTACCGCTTGCCGTGCGGTAGCAGAGAGAACAGTCTATGACTAGGGTGGCTGGAGTCTTTGACAATTTTGAGGGCCTTCCTCTGACATCGCCTGGTATAGAGGTCCTGGATGGCAGGAAGCTTTGCCCCAGTGATGTACTGGGCCGTACGCACTACCCTCTGTAGTGCCTTGCGGTCGGAGGCCAAGCAGTTGCCATACCAGGCGGTGATGCAACCAGTCAGGATGCTCTCGATGGTGCAGCTGTAGAATTTTTTGAGGATCTGAGGACCCATGCCAAATCTTTTTAGTCTCCTGAGGGGGAATAGGCTTTGTCATGCCCTCTTCACGACTGTCTTGGTGTGTTTGGACCATGATAGTTTGTTGGTGATGTGGACACCAAGGAACTTGAAGCTCTCAACCTGTTCCACTACAGCCCCGTCGATGAGAATGGGGGCGTGCTCAGTCCTCTTTTTTTTCCTGTAGTCCACAATCATCTCCTTTGTCTTGGTCACGTTGAGGGAGAGGTTGTTGTCCTGGCACCACACGGCCAGATCTCTGACCTCCTCCCTATAGGCTGTCTCATCGTTGTCGGTGATCAGGCCTACCACTGTTGTGTCGTCGGCAAACTTAATGATGGTGTTGGAGTCGTGCCTGGCCATGCAGTCATGGGTGAACAGAGAGTACAGGAGGGGACTGAGCACACTCCCCTGAGGGGCCCCCGTGTTGAGGATCAGTGTGGCAGATGTGTTGTTACCTACCCTTACCACCTGGGGGCGGCCCGTCAGGAAGTCCAGGATCCAGTTGCAGAGGGAGGTGTTTAGTCCCAGGATCCTTAGCTTAGTGATGAGCTTAGAGGGCACTATGGTGTTGAATGCTGAGCTGTAGTCAATGAATAGCATTCTCACGTAGGTGTTCCTCTTGTCCAGGTGGGAAAGGGCAGTGTGGAGTGCGATAGAGATTGCATCATCTGTGGATCTGTTGGGGCGGTATGCAAATTGGAGAGGGTCTAGGGTTTCTGGGATTATGCTGTTGATGTGAGCCATGACCAGTCTTTCAAAGCACTTCATGGCTACAGACGTCAGTGCTACGGGTCGGTAGTCATTTAGGCAGGTTATCTTAGAGTTCTTGGGCACGGGGACTATGGTGGTCTGCTTGAAACATGTTGGTATTACAGACTCAGTCAGGGACATGTTGAAAATGTCAGTGAAGACACTTGCCAGTTGGTCAGCACATGCTCGGAGTACACGTCCTGGTAATCCGTCTGGCCCTGCGGCCTTGTGAATGTTGACCTGCTTAAAAGTCTTACTCACATCGGCTACGGAGAGCGTGATCACATAGTCATCCGGAACAGCTGGTGCTCTCATGCATGCTTCAGTGTTGCTTGCCTCGAAGCGAGCATAGAAGTGGTTTAGCTCGTCTGGTAGGCTTGTGTCAATGGGCAGCTCGCGGCTGTGCTTCCCTTTGTAGTCTGTAATAGTTTTCAAGCCCTGCCACATCCGACGAGCGTCAGAGCCAGAGTAGTATGATTCAATCTTAGACCTGTATTGACTCTTTGCCTGTTTGATGGTTCGTTGGAGGTCATAGCGGGATTTCTTATAAGCGTCCGGGTTAGAGTCCCGTTCCTTGAAAGCGGCAGCTCTACCCTTTAGCTCAGTGCGGATGTTTCCTGTAATCCATGGCTTCTGGTTGGGGTATGTACGTACGGTCACTGTGGGGACGACATCATCGATGCACTTATTGATGAAGCCAGTGACTGATGTGGTGTACTCCTCAATGCTGTCTGAAGAATCCCGGAACATGTTCCAGTCTGTGCTAGCAAAACAGTCCTGTAGCTTAGCATCTGCGTCATCTGACCACTTTTTTATTAACCGAATCACTGGTGCTTCCTGCTTCAGTTTTTGCTTATAAGCAGGAATCAGGAGGATAGAGTTATGGTCAGATATGCCAAATGGAGGGCGAGGGAGAGCTTTGTATGCGTCTCTGTGTGTGGAGTAAAGGTGGTCTAGAGTTTTTTCCCCTCTGGTTGCACATTTAACATGCTGGTAGAAATGAGGTAGAACGGATTTAAGTTTCCCTGCATTAAAGTCCCCGGCCACTAGGAGCGCTGCATCTGGATGAGCGTTTTCCTGTTGATTAATGGCCTTGTACAACTCATTCAGTGCAATCTTAATGCCAGCATTGGTTTGTGGTGGTAAATAGACAGCTATGGAAAATATAGATGAAAACTCTCTTGGTAAATAGTGTGGTCTACAGCTTATCATAAGATACTCTACCTCAGGCGAGCAAAACCTCGAGACTTCCTTAGTATTTGATTTTGTGCACCAGCTGTTGTTTACAAATATACACAGACCGCCACCCCTTGTCTTACCAGAGTCAGCCGTTCTGTCCTGCCGATGTAGCGTATAGCCTGCTAGCTGAATGTTATCATTGTTGTCGTTCAGCCACGACTCTGTGAAACATAAGATATTACAGTTTTTAATGTCCCGTTGGTAGGATAACCGTAATCTTAAATCGTCCATTTTATTCTCAAAAGATTGAACGTTGGCTAATAGGATTGATGGAAGAGGCAGTTTACTCGCTCGCCGTCGGATCCTTACAAGGCATCCGGATCTGCGTCCACGATATCTCCGTCTCTTCCTCACGCGAATGACGGGGATTTGGGCCTTGTCGGGTGTCTGTATGATATCCTTCGCGGCCGCCTCGTTGAAGAAAAAATCTTCGTCCAATGCGAGGTGAGTAATCGCTGTCCTGATATCCAGAAGCTCTTTTTGGTTATAAGAGACGATGGCAGAAACATTATGTACAAAATAAATTACAAATAACGCGGAAAAACACACATAATAGTACAATTGGTTAGAGGGCTGTAAAACGGCAGCCATCTTCTCCGGCGCTGTTATGCTGTAAGCACAACCCCCACCTGTGGACGTCGGGCCCTCATACCACCCTCATGGAGTCTGTTTCTGACCGTTTGAGCAGACACATGCTCATTTGTGGCCTGCTGGAGGTAATTTTGCAGGGCTCTGGCAGTGCTCCTCTTGCTCTTCCTTACACAAAGGCGGAGGTAGCGGTCCTGCTGCTGGGTTGTTGCCCTCCTACAGCCTCCTCCACGTCTCCTGATGTACTGGCCTGTCTCCTGGTAGCGCCTCCATGCTCTGGACACTACGCTGACAGACACAGCAAACCTTCTTGCCACAGCTCGCATTGATGTGCCATCCTGGATGAGCTGCACTACCTGAGCCACTTGTGTGGGTTGTAGACTCCGTCTCATGCTACCACTAGAGTGAAAGCACCGCCAGCATTCAAAAGTGACCAAAACATCAGCCAGGAAGCATAGGAACTGAGAAGTGGTCTGTGGTCACCACCTGCAGAACCACTTCTTTATTGGGGGTGTCTTGCTAATTGCCTATAATTTCCACCTGTTGTCTATTCCATTTGCACAACAGCATGTGACATTTATTGTCAATCAGTGTTGCTTCCTAAGTGGACAGTTTGATTTCACAGAAGTGTGATTGACTTGGAGTTACATTGTGTTGTTTAAGTGTTCCCTTTATTTTTTTGAGCAGTGTATATATATATATATATATATGTAAAAATGTATGCACACATGACTGTAAGTCGCTTTGGATAAAAGCGTCTGCTAAATGGCATATTATTATTATTATTATTATATATATATATATATATATACATATATATATATATATGGACATAAACTGTATCCTTTCTAGCCAAGACCATCCGGACTCGAGCTCCTCTGAGCGTACATCTGCGCAGTAACGTTATTTTGGTAAACGATCGCGATTGGTTTATCATGATGTCAATCAATCTTGAGCCCCACCACCCCCGAGTTGTCATTCGTTTAATTACACAACACGGAAGTAGAAATATATTTGCATTGAGACATCGACATGTGTTGAGCGAAATGGTGCGACTGAAATCCAGGTAAAATATGTCGTATTTACATGTTGATAATGTGTACAATTCTGAAGTTTTCTCAGTCTCGCCTACTGATCAAACGCTTTTATTCGCAGATATTTGCTGTGTGAAGTTTGCGTAACAGATCGAAGCAATCTGTTACTGCTAGATGACCGAGCCATCTACACTGCAGCCAAAGCAGCAGTGTCTAGAGCGCACGGTGACTATGGTGCTGCACTGTCCAGCCTCGGATTCTCAGGTATTGATAAAGGGAATTAGTCCAGCTTGTGTAGTTAGGCAATGTGATTGATCACTTAAGTTAACATTCATGATGCAATAGCATACACTTGAAAGGGGCTTGTAGGCAACAATGATAGACTAGGTTTACGATCACATTTCAGATTAGTTAGCTGACATTACATTAGTGATATTGTGGGAGCTGAACTTACAGCTGGTGGTGGGGGCTGCTGGTGGTACGGGCTGCTGGTGGTACGAACCACTGCCGTTGTGCCCTTGAAGAAAGCACTTATCCCAGAGCACCAAGTCTGGAACCTGAACAGCCTTGAGACCCAAGCCATAACTGCTAAATGGCTAATAAAATCGCTACCCGGGCTACCTGCATTGACCCTTTTTTGCACCGACTATGCACACACTGGACCCTACCCACATACTCTTACGCTGATACCCAAGCACACACACATACTACAGATGCCCACACAATACACACGCATACTGATGCCACAGTCACCACATACGTTGCTGCTACTGTCGATCAATCCTGTTGCCTGTTACATCCACCTACAGTGCATTCCAAAAGTATACAGACCCTTTCACTTCTTGTTATGTTACAGCCTTATTCTAAAATGGATTAAATAGTTTTTCCCCCTCGATCTACACAATACCCCATAATGACAAAGCAAAAAACTGGTTTAGAAATGTTTGCAAATCTATACAAAGTAAAAAACTTTCACATAAGTATTCAGACCCTTTACTCAGTACTTTGTTGAAGCACCTTTGACAGCGGTTACAGCCTCGCATCTTCTTGGGTATGACGCTACAAACTTGGCACACCTGTATTTGGGGAGTTTCTCCCATTCTTCTCTGCAGATCCTCTCAAGCTCTGTCAGGTTGGATGGGGAGCGTCGCTGCACAGCTATTTTCAGGTCTTGCCAGAGATGTTAGATCGGGTTCAAGTTCGGCTCTGGCTGGGCCACTTAAGGACATTCAGAGACTTGTCCTGAATCCACTCCTGCGTTGTCTTGGCTGTGTGCTTAGGGTTGTTGTCCTGTTGGATGGTGAACCTTCACCCCAGTCTGAGGTCCTGAGCTCTCTGGAGCAGGTTTTCATCAAGGATCTCTGTACTTTGCTCCGTTCATCTTTCCCTCGATCTTGACTAGTCTCCCAGTCCCTGCCGCTGGAAAACATCCCCACAGCATGATGCTGCCACCACCATGCTTCACTGTAGGGATGGTGCCAGGTTTCCTCCAGACGTGACACTTGGCATTCAGGCCAAAGAGTTCAATTTTGGTTTCATCAGACCAGAGAATCTTGTTTCTGATGGTCTGAGAGTCCTTTAGGTGCCTTTTGGCAAACTCCAAGCGGGCTGTCGTGCCTTTTACTGAGGAGTGGCTTCCGTCTGGCCACTCTACCATAAAGGCCTGATTGGTGGAGTGCTGCAGAGATGGTTGACCTTCTGGAAGGTTCTCCCATCTCCACAGAGGAACTCTGGAGCTCTGTCAGTGACCATCAGGTTCTTGGTCACCTCCCTGACTAAGGCTGTTCTCCCCCTATTGCTCAGTTTGGCTGGGCGGCCAGCTCTATGAAGAGTCTTGGTGGTTCCAAACTTTTCCATTTAAGAATGATGGAGGCCACTGTGTTCTTGGGGACCTTCAATGCTGCAGACAATTTTTGGTACCCTTCCCCAGATGTGTGCCTCGACACAATCCTGTCTCTGCGCTCTACGGACAATTCCTCAACTGTGGGACCTTATATAGACAGGTGTGAGCCTTCCCAAATCATGTCCAATCAATTGAATTTACCACAGGTGGACTCTAATCAAGTTGTAGAAACATCTCAAGGATGATCAATGGAAACGGGATGCATCTGAGCTCAATTTCGAGTCTCATAGCAAAGGGTCTGAATACTTATGTAAATAAGGTATTTCTGTTTTTAATTTTTAATAAATTAGCAAAAATGTCTAAACCTGTATTTGCTTTGTCATTATGGGGTATTGTGTGTAGATATACTTTTTATTTATTTAATCAATTTTAGAATAAGGCTGTAACATAACAAATGTGGAGAAAGGGAAGGGGTCTGAATACCTTTTGAATACACTGTATATGTACACTGAACAAAAATGGAACCGCAACATGTAAAGTGTTGGTCCCATGTTTCATGAGCTGAAATAAAAGATCCCAGAAATGTTCCATACGCACAAAAATTGTATTTCTCTCAAATTGTTTGCACAAATTTGTTTACATCTGTTAGTGAGCATTTATATTTTACCAAGATAATCCATCCACCTGACAGGTGTGGCATATCAAGAAGCTGATTAAACAGCATGATCATTACACAGGTGCATCTTGTGCTGGGGAGCTTAAAAGGCCACTCTCTAAAATGTGCAGTTTTTTCACATAACACAATGCCACAGATGTCTCAAGTTTTTAGGGAGCGTGCAATTGGCATGCTGATTGCAGGAATGTCCACCAAAGCTGTTGCCAGAGAATTTAATGTTCATTTCTCTACCATAAGCCGCCTCCAATGTCATTTTAGAGAATTTGGCAGTACGTCCAACCGGCCTCACAACCGCAGACCACATGTATGGTGTCATGTGGGCGAGCAGTTTACTGATGTCAACGTTGTGAACAGAGGGCCCCATTTAAAAAAAATAATATATATATATATGTTTTTATTATTTTTTTAAATCAATGGTAATTTGAATGCACAAAAATACTGTGACGAGATCGTGAGGCCCATTTTTTTAAGGTATCTGTCACCAACAGATGCATATCTGTACTCTGTCATGTGAAATCCATAGATTAGGGCCTAATGAATTTATTTCAATTGACTGATTTCCTCATATGAATTGTAACTCAGTAAAATCAATTAAATTGTTGCATGTTGCATTTATAGCTACCCCGATTATCTTACTTATTATCGTACTGATATTCCCTGTATACAGTGGGGAGAACAAGTATTTGATACACTGCCGATTTTGCAGGTTTTCCTACTTACAAAGCATGTAGAGGTCTGTAATTTTTTTATCATAGGTACACTTCAACTGTGAGAGACGGAATCTAAAACAAAAATCCAGAAAATCACGTTGTATAATTTTTAAGTAATTAATTTGCATGACATAAGTATTTGATCACCTACCAACCAGTAAGAATTCCGGCTCTCACAGACCTGTTAGTTTTTCTTTAAGAAGCCCTCCTGTTCTCCACTCATTACCTGTATTAACTGCACCTGTTTGAACTCGTTACCTGTATAAAAGACACCTGTCCACACACTCAATCAAACAGACTCCAACCTCTCCACAATGGCCAAGACCAGAGAGCTGTGTAAGGACATCAGGGATAAAATTGTAGACCTGCACAAGGCTGGGATGGGCTACAGGACAATAGGCAAGCAGCTTGGTGAGAAGGCAACAACTGTTGGCGCAATTATTAGAAAATGGAAGAAGTTCAAGATGACGGTCAATCACCCTCGGTCTTGGGCTCCATGCAAGATCTCACCTCGTGGGGCATCAATGATCATGAGGAAGGTGAGGGATCAGCCCAGAACTACACGGCAGGACCTGGTCAATGACCTGAAGAGAGCTGGGACCACAGTCTCAAAGAAAACCATTAGTAACACACTACGCCGTCATGGATTAAAATCCTACAGCGCACGCAAGGTCCCCCTGCTCAAGCCAGCGCATGTCCAGGCCCGTCTGAAGTTTACCAATGACCATCTGGGTGATCCAGAGGAGGAATGGGAGAAGGTCATGTGGTCTGATGAGACAGAAAGAGCTTTTTGGTCTAAACTCCACTCGCCGTGTTTGGAGGAAGAAGAAGGATGAGTACAACCCCAAGAACACCATCCCAACCGTGAAGCATGGAGGTGGAAACATCATTCTTTGGGGATGCTTTTCTGCAAAGGGGACAGGACGACTGCACTGTATTGAGGGGAGGAAGGATGGGGCCATGTATCGCGATATCTTGGCCAACAACCTCCTTCCCTCAGTAAGAGCATTGAAGATGGGTCGTGGTTGGGTCTTCCAGCATGACAACGACCCGAAACACACAGCCAGGGCAACTAAGGAGTGGCTCCGTAAGAAGCATCTCAAGGTCCTGGAGTGGCCTAGCCAGTCTTCAGACCTGAACCCAATAGAAAATCTTTGGAGGGAGTTGAAAGTCCGTATTGCCCAGCGACAGCCCCAAAACCTGAAGGATCTGGAGAAGGTCTGTATGGAGGAGTGGGCCAATATCCCTGCTGCAGTGTGTGCAAACCTGGTCAAGACCTACAGGAAACGTATGATCTCTGTAATTGCAAACAAAGGTTTCTATACCAAATATTAAGTTCTGCTTTTCTGATGTATCAAATACTTATGTCATGCAATAAAATGCAAATTAATTACTTAAAAATCATACAATGTGATTTTCTGGATTTTTGTTTTAGATTCCGTCTCTCACAGTTGAAGTGTACCTATGATAAACATTACAGACCTCTACATGCTTTGTAAGTAGAAAAACCTGCAAAATCGGCAGTGTATCAAATACTTGTTCTCCCCATTGTATAGGCTAGCCATGTTATTGTTATTCACATTTATTCCTCGTGTCACTATTTCAATATTTTATTTCATCTTTAACTGCATTGTTGCGAAAGGACCTGTAAGTAAGAATTTCACTGTTGGTCTACACCTGTTGTTTACGAACCACGTGACGAATACAATTTAATTTGATTTAACCCAAAATTGCTTTCCATCCAGGGTGGGCCTATGTCTCTTAAATTGTCTGGGGGTAAAAAAGGCAGAGGATAATTCTATTCATAAAAGTAATTTAAAAAACTATATTTTTCAGTGAAATATCTGAATGCCCACACTGGAATTGTGTTCCTGCGCTGTCGGAAGAGCCACTACAGACTCATCTGGTCTGCATTGCCATTCGTCACCAGTCTAGAGAACCGAGGGCAAAGAGTGCCATGTTTTCTGAACTGTTTGCATGTGGGAGGTAAGAAAGACCAACTTCCCTTTGCATGAGTTGTATTTATTTGCACACAAAAAAAGACAGGTGAAAGACAAAACAGTGCAAATAAAAACAACTTGGAAACCTAGGAGGGCTTATGAAAATGACCACACAAAAATGTATAACACAACTACAGTTGAGGTTGGAAGTTTACATACACCTTAGCCAAATACATTTAAACTCCTGACATTTAATCCTAGTAAAAATTCCCTGTCTTAGGTCACTTAGGATCACCACTTTATTTTAAGAATGTGAAATGTCAGAATAATAGAAGAGAGTGATTTATTTCAGCTTTTATTTATTTCATCACATTCCCAGTGGGTCAGAAGTTTACATACTCAATTAGTATTTGGTAGCATTGCCTTTATATTGTTTAACTTGGGTCAAACATTTCGGGTAGCCTTCCACAAGCTTCCAACAATAAGTTGGGTGAATTTTGGCCCATTCGTCATGACAGAGCTGGTGTAACTGAGTCAGGTTTGAAGGCCTCTTTGCTCGCACACACTTTTTCAGTTCTGCCCACAAATGTTCTATAGGATTGAGGTCAGGGCTTTGTGATGGCCACTCCAATACCTTGACGTTGTTGTCCTTAAGCCATTTTGCCACAACTTTGGAAGTATGCTTGGGGTCATTGTCCATTTTGAAGACCCATTTGCGACCAAGCTTTAACTTCCTGACTGATGTCTTGATGTTACTTCAATATATCCACATAATTTTCCTTCCTCATGATGCCTTATATTTTGTGAAGTGCACCAGTCCCTCCTGCAGCAAAGCACCCCCACAGCATGATGCTGCCACCCTCGTGCTTCACGGTTGGGATGATGTTCTTCGGGTTGCAAGCAACCCCCTTTTCCCTCCAAACATAACGATGGTCTTCATGGCCAAACAGTTCTATTTTTGTTTCATCAACCAGAGGACATTTCTCCAAAAAGTACGATATTTTTCCCCATGTGCAGTTGTAAACCGTAGTCTGGCTTTTTTATGGCGGTTTTGGAGCAGTGGCTTCTTCCTTGCTGAGCGGCCTTTCAGGTTATGTCGATATAGGACTTGTTTTACTGTGGATATAGATACTTTTGTACCTGTTTCCTCCAGCATCTTCACAAGGTCCTTTGCTGTTGTTCTGGGATTGATTTGCACTTTTCGCACCAAAGTACGTTCATCTCTAGGAGACAGAACGCGTCTCCTTCCTGAGCGGTATGACGGCTGCGTGGTCCCATGGTGTTTATACTTGCGTACTATTGTTTGTACAGATGAACATGGTACCTTCAGGCATTTGGAAATTGTTTCCAAGGATGAACTAGACTTGTTGGGGTCTACCATTTCTTTTCCTGAGGTCTTGGCTGATTTCTTTTGATTTTCCCATGATGTCAAACAAAGAGGCACTGAGTTTGAAGGTAGGCCTTGAAATACATCCACAGGTACACCTCCAATTGACTCAAATGATGTCAATTAGCCTATCAGAAGCTTCTAAAGCCATGACATCATTTTCTGGAATTTTCCAAGCTGTTTAATGGCACCGTCAACTTAGTGTATGTAAACTTCTGACCCACTGGAATTGTGATACAGTGAATTATAAGTGAAATAGTCTGTAAACAATTGTTGGAAAAATTACTTGTGTCATGCACAAAGTAGATGTCCTAACCGACTTGCCAAAACTATAGTTTGTTAACAAGACATTTGTGGAGTGGTTGAAAAACGAGTTTATATGACTCCAGCCTAAGTGTATGTAAACTTCCGACTTCAACTGTATATATGTGCAAAACCGTATATTCCAGCTCTAGTGCCGTCATCAACATAACAAAAACATATATTTGGCCCTGAGCACAGAGGCTAACTAACTGCAAATAAAATGTCTACTTATTTTTATTTTATGCAGGAACGATCCGGACATGTCAGAAGTTTCTGGTCCGATATAATACTCAGCAGCTGCACCGGATGCTCCCCCTCTGTCAGAGTGAAGGTATGCGATGGTCTGCTTTATTTTTGTACATCACAGTTCCTTACCCATGCACGGTTTTCTCATTGCAGACAATATGCCTAGTAATTGAATAGGCTACAACCAGGTTACAGAGAAGCTATAATTAGGTGGGACTTGCGAAGCAAAAGTCCCGACTTTAAATCTTTGTCTTATTATTATTATTCTGCACGCTACTGCTCTTACACTAAGTTAGAAACGCCATTCAAACTTTAAAATGTGCAGACAGGTCTTGAATAGTGTGCTTGCATAATTTAAAAAAAATAATTTTATACTTTTTAAACTTAATTTTGTTTTTCTTTTTGTCCATCTTCATTCACTTGAATGGGACTTCTTTCAACATTCTGAAGCTCCTCATTGTGACATCATCACTTCCAACATTCACTGTAAACAATGTAACTTTTGACACATCACAAAATGTATGTATTTTAATGTTTTGAAGTTCTACACCATTTTAAATCAGGATAACCTATTATTTCTAATGACGTAAATTTGGGCAGCATACAATGCTGTTACCAATTGCTGGTAGTTAAAATGTCAACAACAACAAAAATTACTCATGGAACTCTGAGGCCGTCCCATTGTTTCCTTTAGGGGAAATATAGGTATGTCTGTTTATTTCACAAAATATCTCGCAATGTGTATATTTTTATTTTTTTCAAGTCAGACACCATTTTAATCAGGATAATCTCCTCTTTCTAATTATGTAAGGCTGGGCAGCGTACTCCATTGTCATCAAAAGCTTGTAAAAAAGTATACATTATTGTTGGACCTCTGAGGCTGCCCCATTGTTTCCCTATGGGAAAATTCTACACAGACATGTATGTCTATTTCGCCAAATATCTCGCAATGTGTATTTTGATTTTTTTCAAGTCGGGCACCATTTTAATCATGAGAATCTCCTCTTTCTAATTATTTAAGGCTGGGCAGCGTACTCCGTTGTCATCGATCGCTAGACCAGAAATTGAAGTTGCCATTTATTTCCTACTTCCTCGTTATGCAGACATAAGCACGATTGGCACCATCGAGGTGCTGATGTTTACTTTCTACACGAGTTGTTATTTTTCAGTTTCGTCCTAAAAACAGATTGTAGTGGTAAAATGAAAAGGTATACATTTTTTGCTGCCATTTATGGAAAATTTAATTATAAGGATCATTCCAGTCAAAACAGGCTCTCCGAAGGTTAGTTTCAATGAATTTGCTATGGCCTCGCGCTAGTGTTCCAGCTCAACCAACGTTCTTTGGCCGTTTTTCAGCCTTTGGGTGAATTTTGACTCGTTCTATAGACAAGTTTACGCGCTGTATCCCGGGTGGCGCCATAACTCTACACAAATGCATTTCATTTCCGCCGGAAGTTGTTGGCACAACGTCTGCCGGTGTAAACACAGCGATGTCGACGCTAGCTTGGGAACACGGTTCTACTACTATGCCGCAACCCATCAAGGAGCGGAGGGGGAGGAACTTGCAAGGGACTATTTGGAAACTCTGGGCAACAGCATTGAAACCAAAGGCTTAGTGGTGTGCGAAAAGGAACCGTGGCTTGCAGCATCTCCCGATGGAGTGATAAACAACGACATTCTGTTGGAGATCAAATCACCTGTGATGGGAAACAAGTCACTTGCAGAATTTTTGGCAACAAAGAACTGCGAAATCACAACTGTGGCAAACGGAGATAGGGTAGATTACCATATTGCCTGCAATGGTCCAAAAGGCTACTACATGCAGGTACAAATTGGGATGCACTGCACAGGGCTTCAGCACTCCAAGTTGGTGATCTGGAACAAAACTGAGCACCTAGAAATTGAAGTACCCTACGACCAAGGCTTTGTCCAGGGGCATATCATAAGGCTGCGCACATTCTACTTTGCCCACATGCTCCCGACAATTGTTGATGATTTTGTTGAGGGAAGGTTACAGTTATGCAGTAAATATCTCAGCATTTTAAAACCAAAATAAACTGCCTTATTTAGGTAATGCCCACAGGAGCCAACAGATGTCCATTGTTTACATGATCTCTTTATGCTGTGCAATATATCAGTGTGCCTACTGTTTGAGTGAAAATAAAGTTTGATGTAATTTCAATCCTTAGAGTGCTACAATTTATTTTAACACAGTTCATAATTCATAGTAAGCTCATACTGTACATAAATAACACTGGATTAATTAATTGTTTTGAGGAAACTAAACAAATGGCTTCAACAAGAAAGATTGCGTGTTTAATCTTAACAGGTATTAAAAAGTAAAATACAAAAGCAGCCCAGACAATTACATCACTATGAAAATATTCATATATAATATTTAAAAATACAATGCACGCAGTATTTGTTGCGTTTATCTGTATTTAATGAACAACATGGCTGGGTGTTGGTAGACAGGGACACAGGGCAAGATTCTAAACCTCACTGATCAGTGGACTCTTCAGGTTAACTAGGCCAGCACAGATGGTTAAGATGTTGTCCAGTTTCGGTGCCATGCTGATGGGAACATTCTGGGATAAAATCTTAAACACCTTCAGTCTCTGGATTGCTCTTTCCACATGTATGCGGACATTGGCTACTCGCCTGGTGCGTGTCGTCTCCTCATTGGTCAACTGATTGCGCCTGTAGGTGAAAGCAGGGATGTTCAAACTGACCCTTCTCTCATCAAGCAAGTCTCGAATGGTGAACCCACGGTCCGCCATGACCTCATCACCAGCCCTCAGATAGTCTAGGAACCCACTGTCCATGGTGATAAACTTATCGCTGCTTCTGCCAGCATAGGCATCAGATATAAACATGATTAGCCCATTAGGGGCCACAGCGACGAGATATTTCACAGTGTTGCGTGATTTATACTGGCTGAAAGTGTCACTCCTTGAGTCGTGGTTTGTGGCTCTCTGCATGGCACTTTCGGCACAGTCAATGATGCAGGTGGTTCGAGGGTAGTTCCTCTGAAACGACAAGGGCATGGTGGCACGAATGGTCTCTCTTGGAAGCCAGGGGATCAGGACTTTGAACTGTTCACCCATCACGTCAATCCAGTGACTAATCACAATGCTTGCCATGGATGTAGACACATTGAAGCGGTGAGCAATATCTCCTAATATTAGGTTTAGTTTTAGTTTCATCAACGTCATAAGTATTTGGTCAACAACAGGAAGGGTAATTGATGGCTTACTGAAAGGCAACAACACCGTCACCAGGGTGAAGAATTGAACCATAAGCACTCCTGTATACAGCCGGGACCTAGCATCATCAATGACCGTGGTGCTGGTCACAGTAGGACCCATTTCTGCCTCGCACTGTGTGGCCTTGTCTACTTTAACAGACTGTGTTGTTGAACAGTAAATGTGATCAATATGTGACGGATCCTCCCATTGGGTCTGGGCATCTCGAAATGTTGGTGTAGCAGGCTCGGCCTCACAGATAGGCTGACAGGTTTCTGGAGCATCTAAAAAGGGGAAGAGAACATGGATGGAGCAAAATTAATGCAGGCATAGAGTCCTCTCACTACAAACATCACAATGGAAAAATGTGTACTACAACATTGCACTCACACGCACACACACAATCATCACAACAGCCTGCCACCTTGCATTGTATTTATGATGTAGACTAAGGCACACGCAGGCAGGCACACACACACACACACACACACACACACACACACACAATTAATGATGTAGCTATCGTGGGCATTGTTTGTCCCATCTCCAAAACAATCAACTGCCTTAGCAAAATACCGGTAGCAATGTTAATGTATGACAACTTCTTCATAATTAACAGTATTGTCAGCTTCATAGCTAAAGTTGCTGAACTTACCCTCGGATTCAAGTCTGCGTTTCTTTATCTGGGGGGAGGCAGTGGTCCGCTGGGTGAGTTGACGCCTCTTTGGCTGGGGAGGGTGATTGTATCCCAACCACAACTCTGGGAAAGGATTATCCTTGGTAGGTTTTTGGTCAACAAAGGGATAGGAACAAACAAACGTTGAGGGGTGGTTTCTTTAGATTCAATGCCTTCAGCCAGGTCCTTGATTCCGAGTCGGTATCAGGCTTGCGAAAAAATGTAAACAATGGAGCGCATGGACATTGCCTCTTCGTAGCTGGTTTGTGGTCGTAGCACTCTCTATCTAACCACTCGTTCAGGTGCTTTCTCGAGTTTTTGCAACCAACTACCGCACACGTCGTTCCCGAACCACTTTTCTTCATGTTGTAATTGTAATTTTTATATCCTCTTTGTCACTGCGATATCAGTGCTTTGTCGGCACAACGGAGCTAGCTAGCAAAACAAAACCCAGCCCGGCAGAACGGAAGTGGATTGCATCGACGGGAGGAGTTCAGGAAGTAGAGCGGAAACTGCTCAAAAACTTGTCTATTGTCCAGCCTAACATCAGCTACTTTGACCACTTTGCGATCAAAATTTGACAAAAAGTTAGAGCACATGAAATCTTCCTCTACTTCTCTACTATTCAAATCTGGCGTTTGAATAAAATATATATTAAACCAATAAAAAGTTGCAGGTGTTTGTAGGAGTTTAGATTGATGAAAAAACAAGCTAGCTAACATCTCTCTTATGTCTCATCATTGAGCTGTTGCTGTGGATACTCACACAAATGTAAGAGTAAAAGGTTACAGCTGTTTGTCAGTTTAGTGATGAAAAGCAGCTAGCTAATGTGAGCTAACAGCTCTTCCATATTGAGTCATTGAGCAGCCCAAACGGTGCTGTTGTTATGGATACCAATGCATTTCAATGGCAAAAAAGGGCCATCTCCTCTTTCACCGCTTAAGCTATTAACTCCAAACCCACTCTTGAGATGTTTAGACTGACCCTACTTGGATTGCTTGTCGAAAGATTTTTGATACTATATATAATTTAACTAACCATTTTAAAATGGGCATACATTTAACATAGGTTTGAATGAGAACCAAAGAAATACAGAGGTAGACATTCAAAATGGTCCTGCTCCTTGGCCAATTAGACCAAGTTTAAAACATTCAGGCTATCAACTTCTTTAACACTTTTATAAACTAGAACTAAATACATCTGCATACATGGGAATAAAAGAACTCCCCAACAGTAATTATTGAACCGTTCAAGCTAGGGACACCAAACCACCTTTCAAATGTTCAGGCTATTCTAACTTCAAATTCTCAAACTTGTATCAACTATAACTACATACATTTGCATAAAGTAACTAACCAATAGTAACTCCTGAACCGTTCAAGCTTGACACCAAACCAACTTTCACATGCTCAGGCAATCCTAACTTGAAATTATTTAAAAGTTTATTGATCACTGTATAAATTAGCACACATTAGCATAATATAACTCACCAACAGTAACTCTTGAACCGTTCAAGCTAAATACAGCAAACCAGCTTTCATATGTTCAGGCTATCCTAACGTTTCATCTACCTACTTTTTCAACTATAACCAGTCACCATCATTACTACTGCAGACACTACCACTACTATAACATTTTTCAAAACCATACATACTTTAAAACTACTTTTGCTTTAAATAGTAAACACTTTTTAAACTTCTACCACAAAAATACTTTTAAAGAGGTAAAGCAAGTCACACCAATTGTACTTCATGTACAATTAACATCTAGTTTGTATTCAAGTTTCAAACCATTGAACTGAGAATTGAACTAACTGTACTGTGGCTGTTTGTTTGTCTTTCCTTGTGCAGCAGAGAGATCAGAGATCCGCAAGTCAGTACTGAGCTGCACCCTGAAGAAAGAGGCAGATGATGGTGATGACGATGAGGAGGATGAGTGACCCCAACCTCATTCTGACGCTCTTGCTACTTGCAGTGAATCTAATCTCTGGGAAGCCACTGTTAATCCCAATACTTCTAGTTCTGTTACTGGGCTGATGGATTTTATGATAGAATAGAGCCCTCAAACTCAACTCTGGACCTCGAAGCCAGTTCCACGTTTTTCATTGTTCCCCTCTAATTAGGGACGGATTTAGGTGAGTGCAATTAATGATCAGGTAGAACAGAAAACCAGCAGGCTCCGGACCTCGCAGGGTAAGAGTTTAATACCCCTGGAATAGAGCCTGGTGCTTCAATGCAGCTGTTGGCGTGTGAATGCAGATCAGCTGTGAGCTAATTAAAACAAAGCAAATAAAACATGGGACAGATGGTGTGTACATAAATAGTTTTTATTTCTGCTATGTGTGTAATTAATACACGTTACTTAATGCTCTGTTGTATATACATTTTTTGAAAGCAAAATAATTAAATCTCTTCTAGCAAGCAAACCATTAGCCCTTATTAATGACTCCAATTCCATTGCATTACATTGAGCCATTGGACGTCCCCTTTAGCCTTGTGGAAAATGCAGTGACGCTCTGATGCTGGCCAAATGCTCTGTCTAAACGCAAATACACGCGATAGTTTCCGAAACATTTGGAGCGTAACTTTAATATACTGAACAAAAATATAAACGCAACAATTTCAACAATTTTACTGAGTTACAGTTCATATAAGGAAATCAGTCAAGTGAAATAAATTCATTAGGCCCTAATCTATGGATTTCATATGACTGGGCAGGGGTGCAGCCTATGCCCTCCCAGGCCCACCCACTTGGGAGCCAGGCCCAGCTAATCAGAATGAGTTTTTCCCCACAAAAGGGCTTTATTACAGACAGAAATACTCCTCAGTTTCATCAGCTCTCCGGGTGGCTGGTCTCAGACGATCCCGCAGGTGAAGAAGCCTGATGTGGAGGTCCTGGGCTGGCGTGGTTACACATGGTCTGCGGTTGTGAGGCCGGTAGGACGTACTGCCAAATTCTCTAAAACAACGTTGGAGGCGGCTTATGGTAGAGAATTGAACATTTAAATTATCTGGCAGCAGCTCTAGTGGACATTCCTGCAGTCAGTATACCAATTGCACGCTCCCTCAACTTTAGACATCTGTGGCATTGTAACAAAACTGCACATTTTTAAGTGGCCTTTTATTGTCCCCAGCATGAGGTGCACCTGTGTAATGATCCTGCTGTTTAATCAGCTTCTTGATATGCCACACCTGTCAGGTGGATGGATTATTTTGGCACAGGAGAAATGCACACTAACAGGGATGTAAACAAATGTGAGAGAAATACATTTCTGTGCATATGGATGTAGCTCAGTTGGTAGAGCATGGTGTTTGCAACGCCAGGGTTGTGGGTTCGATAAAATAATGTATGTGCTAACTGTAAGTCGCTCTGGATAAGAGCGTCTGCTAAATGACTAAAATGTAAATGTATATGGAACATTTCTGTGATCTTTTATTTCAGCTCATGAAAAATGGGACCAACAGTTTACATATTCCGTTTATATTTTTGTTCAGTATGTAAGCAATAAATAATTGTTGAATTACAAAATATATACTTAACGTTTTAGGAAAGTTGCACCCAGCTGTATTTCCAAGAACACCGACACTAACTCCCCTCCAATTTCTGCTTCAAACGTCTCCAGTGGAGCATAACTGGGGAGGAAATTCTGTACCTCAGCAGGGGGCTGTGTTTTTGTCGCTTATGCCTGGAGCCGGCCCTGCCAAAGGATTCCATCAACCATATCACAAGCCAGGATTATTAACGTTTCTAAACGTTAAAACAGCGTCGGAATTGTCGTTCATTGATCCAGCTGTGGTCCATACGGTACATTCAATTGAGAACTCAAGGGCTGGGTATATACCCCCCCCCCCCCCCCCCCCCCCCCCCCCCCCCCTCCCCCCCTTTGGGTTCTCCAGAGCTAGCCAACCATACTGCCACTTTTTCCTCAAAAAACAGAGGAGAAGGACCACAATGAGGGGGACGACAATTCACTCTGAACTAGTATTCACATTTATGTTACTTGTATTCTCATTTCTACTTTCAAATGGAAAAGAAAAACAATACGGGTGTTGGGTTATTACTACATTTCCCACAATCCCACCCTGTACAAAACAACAACGCGCAGATGTCTCATCCGGGTTCTCTGTGGTTCCTGTTTGGCGACCCGTCGCCATTAGTAATAGCTCGTCCGTACGATCATATTTTTTTTTTTAGGGAAAACTGCACAATTGTCCGTTTTCCATTCTTTGGAGAACGGTCAACGCCTTTTTGGGCCAAGTGTTTCCCAGAACGCGAAAACTCTTAACTTTCCTGGGTCTTGGCCCCGCGGTGTGAGCCTTCGCTTCGTTCTCTCTTTCTACACCGCCTCCATAACTGAGACGCCTAAATTGTGTCTCTATTTTTCTCGGTTTGTTTTGTTGTCAAGATGTCGCCGTAATGGAGTCTCCCGGTTTGACGGAAATTAAACAGGGCCTTCGCTGCCTGACCCGCACTCCCAACAATCAGTTCTCCTCTCCCTTTGTCCCATTTAATGCTAGGGAGCACGGACGCTCTCTGCCCGGAGTTCGGCCTAAATACCTCTCGCAGAAAGGAGACAACCATGGAGAAGAATCCAAACAACAATGCCAACAGCAACAAGGTCCCGCCCCGTTCGAGTTCTACAGGCCCAACACCGGGCGAATCTAAGCCGAAAACAGGTGAACATTAATCAATGGCTTTTGTCATTCGAACCAATTCCTAACTAACCTCCCTCTGGCAGGTTTAGAATTGTAATCTGTGGGTGTCATGGAGTAGAGTGATGTCCCATTTCATGGACCCAAGGTCCATAGGTATCGGCTAATCAGCCCACTAAGTGACACCCACAGATTACAATTCTAAAGAGTTTACACAAATATTAGCTTCTTAGATATTATTGTCTAACTTTAACTGTGGAGTCGTTCCATGTCATATAAACAAGCCATAACACCATCTCAGATTGTTCTGAATTCATTTCTGTAGATAGAAACAGATAAGCATAGCATTCCTGCAACATTATTTTGTTGAAATAATATAATTTGATCTATGAGAAATTAAGCTAATTGATTGCATCCAGATTGGCCATTTTAGTTTATAGGATTCAGTATATATATGCCTAGTACCTGACAAACTTTTTTTCTAACAATGAGTAAGACGAAGAATCCAAAGAAATGGTCAAAAGGCACCCACGGACCACCCCATGCCAATCCCAACCCAACAACAAGTATACAGTATCAGTTCTCTGTCTGATGTAGTATGGAGCTGCGACTTGGAGTATTGTTTCTTCATCCTGTGTAATGTAGTCTCGGTGAATTTGGTGATGCATTTGTGGCACAAATCAAATTTTATTTGTCACATGCGCTGATTAGATGTTCAGGAGTCTTATGGCTTGGGGGTACAAGCTGTTTAGAAGCCTCTTGGACCTAAACTTGGCGCTCCGGTACCGCTTGTCATGAGAGAGAACAGTCTGACTAGGGTGGCTGGAGTCTTTGACAATTTTTAGGGCCTTTCTCTGACACCGCCTGGTATAAAGGTCCTGGGTGGCAGGAAGCTTGGCCCCTGTGATGTACTGGGCCATACGCACTACCCTCAAGTGCCTTGAGGTCAGAGGCCGAGCAGTTGCCATACCAGGCGTTGATGCAACCAGTCAGGATGCTCTCGATGGTGCAGCTGTATATCTTTTTGAGGATCTGAGGACCCATGCCAAATCTTTTCAGTCTCCTGAGGGGGAATAGGCTTTGTCGTGCCCTCTTCACGACTGTCTTGGTGTGTTTGGACCATGATAGTTTGTTGGTGATGTGGACACCAAAGAACTTGAAGCTCTCAACCTGTTCCACTACAGCCCCGTTGATGAGAATGGGGGCGTGCTCAGTCCTTTTTTCCCCCTGTAGTCCACAATCCTCTCCTTTGTCTTGATCACGTTGAGGGAGAGGTTGTTGTCCTGGCACCACACTGCCAGGTCTCTGACCTCCTCCCTATTGGCTGTCTCATCGTTGTCGGTGATCAGGCCTACCACTGTTGTCGTCAGCAAACTTAATGATGATGTTGGAGTCATGCCTGGCCATGCACTCATGGGTGAACAGGGAGTACAGGAGGGGACTGAGCACGCACCCATGAGGGGCCCCCGTGTTGAGGATCAGCGTGGCAGATGTGTTGTTACCTACCCTTACCACCTGGGGGCGGCCCTTCAGGAAGTCCAGGATCCAGTTGCAGAGGGAGGTGTTTAGTCCCAGGGTCCTTAGCTTAGTGATGAGCTTTGAGGGCACTATGGTGTTGAACGCTGAGCTGTAGTCAATGAATAGCACTCACGTAGGTGTTCCTCTTCTCCAGGTGGGAAAGGGCAGTGTGGAGCGCAATAGAGATTGCATAATCTGTTGATCTGTTGGGGTGGTATGCAAATTGGAGTGGGTCTAGGGTTTCTGGGATAATGGTGATGTGAGCCATGACCACCTTTCAAAGCACTTCATGGCTACAGACGTGAGTCCTACGGGTCGGTAGTAATTTAGGCAGGTTATCTTAGTGTCCTTGGGCACAGGGACTATGGTGGTCTGCTTGAAACATGTTGGTATTACAGACTCAGTCAGGGACATGTTGAAAATGTTTGTTGAAGACACTTGCCAGTTGGTCAGCGCATGCTCGGAGTACACAAAAAAATATATAGAGAAACTCCTGAATGAGTAGGCGTGCGACACAATAGGCTGGTAGGGACAAAGCACAACATTTCGTTGTATTAAATCCTTACATTCTATAAATTGCGTATATAGGCTGTGACTTACTTAGAATTAAATACAAAATAAATGAAAAATTACTTATTAGTGCCTTTTTTATTTCATTTTTAGAAACATGAGATTGGCCAGTCTGTGGCTTCAGGCTCATGCGATGGTGCCTGGAGAGCAGGCCAGAAGCAGAGAATATCCTCCACACTTGCAGAGCCACTGGGAATGCTAAACAACCTTTTGGCCACTCTTGCCAGAGTTGTTTTATTTTTCTATAGGTAGGCCTAAACGTTTTTAGGCTAAATAACCCAATCAAAAATGCCAGGCCTATTGGGCCAAAATCAATTATGGCCTATTGTATAGATAATAGAACGAAAATGAACGAAACGTTTAAGAGATCTGATTTGTAGTTTATAAATACTTTGCTACACTTAGTTATCTACCCACCTCGTTCCTTTCTTTTAGCATGTGCACGTAGTAAGTACACCATCATACTTCAGATAAGTGTGTTTTCAGATTCCACAATGATTATTTAGTTGTGGACACTACATCACCACACTCCCTCTATTGCTCTTGGTCGTCATCTTTGTAAGTCACCTTGATTTAGCACCTGTCTGTTTTATCAGTTTCTTTATGAAAATATTTAGCGAACTCCATGACAGTAGCAAAAGCAAGGGGCTATTAGCAGCCCACAAGTAGACTACAAATGCATGCTGGGGCAGGTATGCCCTAAGCTCGTGAAGTGAGTGCTACTGGACGAAATTAAAGCGGGTGAGAAGGCCGATGCTCCAGCCTTTGGGACTCTCACTCCACGCTCTAGTCAAATTGGGCACGCTCCGCTCCTCCCTCCGCTCCGCTCACATACTCTGATCCACGCTACATTGCAGGGCCTAGTGGTAGGGCATGGTTTGTTTACTTGATATTGGAGGTGATGTAAGTTGTGCCTTTTGACAGAGCATTGACACATTCACCAAAAGTCAGGTGCATAAGGATATTTGCGCATTTCATGTATATAGGCCTTTTTCAATATGTTACTGATATCTAACCACAGGTAAACTATTGTCCAATCAGGCTAAGGTGGTTGTTTGATAACTGCAATCTGTGACCCTCCGTTGAGAATCAAATTATTCCAAGTGTCTGTTTCATGCATATACAGAATACTGATGTTGTATTTTTGTGCAGTCGTCCATAGAGGCTGATGGAGTTAAGTTAGCTAGATATAGTCCTTTGACAGTGGATGACGTAATCTAATTTCATCGTTGTAGATCCATGGTCACCAGCCTTTTCTGAGTCAAGATAACTTTCACAGTCAAAAAGCAAGCCGAGATTTACTGCTTTGATATTATTTTCTTCAAACATGACTTAAAAAAACGTATGCCTATGCAACATTAACGTAATAAAAACTGTTCTGTAGGAGTGAGGTTTGTGCAGAAGGCCTAATACATTGTCACAGCATATTGGCTATGCTTGACCTGCCAATATTGTTCTTATCAGACCATATTATACACGATATGTACAAAAGTTGTGGACACCCCTTCAAATTAGTGGATTTGGCTATTTCGGCTACACCTGTTGCTGACAGGTGTATACAATCGAGCACACCGCCATGCAATCTCCATAGACAAACATTGACAGTAGAATAGCCTTACTGAAGAGCTTAGTGACTTTCAGCGTGGCACCGTCATAGGATGCCACCTTTCCAACAAGTTAGTTTGTCAAATTTCTGCCCTGCTAGAGCTTCCCCGGTCAACTGTAAGTGCTGTTATTGTGAAGTGGAAATGTCTAGGAGCAACAACGGCTCAGCCGCGAAGTGGTAAGCCACACAAGCTCACAGAACGGCACCGCCGAGTGCTGAAGCGCGTAAAAATCATCTGTCCTCTGTTGCAACACTCACTACAGAGTTCCACTGCCTCTGGAAGCAATGTCAGCAAAATAACTGTTCGTCTGGAGCTTCATGAAATGGGTTTCCATGGCCGAGCAGCCGCACACAAGCCTAAGATCACCACACGCAATGCCAAGCGTCAGCTGGAGTTGTGTAAAGCTCGCCGCCATTGGACTCTGGAACAGTGGAAATGCGTTCTCTGGAGTGATGAATCACGCTTCACCATCTGACAGTCCGACGGATTAATCTGGGTTTGGCGGATGCCAAGAGAACGTTACCTGCCCCAATGCATAGTGCCAACTGTAAAGTTTGGAGGAGGAGGAATAATGGTCTGGGGCTGTTTTTTCATGGTTTTGGCTGGGCCCCTTAGTTCCAGTGAAGGGAAATCTTAAAGCTACAGCATACAATGAAATTCTAGACGATTCTGTGCTTCCAACTTAGTGGCAACAGTTTGGGGAAGGCCCTTTCCTGTTTCAGCATGACTATGCCCCTGTGCACAAAGCGAGGTCCTTACAGAAATAGTTTGTTGAGATCTGTGTGGAAGAACTTGACTGGCCTGCACAGACCCCTGACCTCACCCCATGGAACACCTTTGGGATGAATTGGAACACCGACTGCGAGCCAGGCCTAATTGCCCAACATCAGTGCCCGACCTCACTAATGCTCTTGTGGCTGAATGGAAGTAAGTCCCTGCAGCAATGTTCAATCATCTAGTGGAAAGTCTTCCCAGAAGAGTGGAGGCTGTTATAGCAGCAAAGGTGAGATATTCGACGAGCAGGTGTCCACATACTTTTGGTCATGTAGTGTATTTCAAAACATGAGCTTTGATAACAAAATAGATCAGCTGTATCACTTGCGAGGCACAGCTGAATATAAATTGAGATATTTGCTAATAATTAGTTTTATTTTACTGGACTGATGGTGCCTGAATCTGATTGTTACACTCAGCGAAGGAAGAGCAGGGTCCGTGCTATCCGTGATCCTTGGGACGTCTCTACCCCGTTTTGAAGTTGACATGTAACATGGTTAAGGGTTAGCGTTAGGTAAGGGTCGACCGGTTGGTGATAACTGTTGTAGACTGTCTATCTTTGCCATTCATTTGGGATTGAGGCATATACAGGATCTACACACATAACAGGTCATTTTAGAGTGATCTATCACTTTAAACTTGTGTGCAAGTATGAGTTGACTTGCTCTGGCTTGTGCTGATAAGAGCACACGACACGGCCCACCCTGTGCTAGTCATGTGATTTCTAAAGATCAGCTTGAACTTTTTTTTTAATGACAGGACCGGCAGGATATTTGTTTACCTTTCACCAATATGCCTTTCTGCATTGGTGTCTTTCACATAGGTATTTGGTACAACCGTAATAATATCAGCAAGATCTTCATAATCTTCACCCCTTCCTTAGGTTGATTTAGGCTACAAGTTAAGTTCTACTTTACATCAGAGTGCCTCACGGCAACAGTGGACATGAGAAAGGCAATGATAAAGCAATGCAAATAGAATTGCTGGTGATCTCCCTGTATTTTCCCCTGTTATTCTCCCCAGATTGTAAGAGTAATGGAGGTTCTAAGCGCTACAGCCGCAAGCGAGAGCCCTCTGTTCCCAAGAGTGACAGTTTCCCTGGCCCTCGACGCACCAATTCACAGAAAAGCAAGAATTTTGACAAGAGACCCCCCCAGAGAGGTGGAGCCCGGCAGTATGGCGTTACAGGTGGAGGAAGACATGAAGAGGTGAGCATTCACAAGATAAAAATAATATTTATCTTTGTTGGCTATGGAATAATGTTAAATTAAGAGAGCTTTGTTAGGCCCTATACTTGTATATTCCCACTTTGTGATCGTATTAGCTCTTAAATAACACTTATTATATTTACAAATTATTTATATGCTAGAATGGTTTGAGTCACTGATCGGTAGAAACAAGGCAGCATCAACCCATAGGAATATTATTATTCCTACCTGTGAATCAGGAAAGTCGGGTTCTAATTATTTTCTCCTTTTCCTCAGGTAGCAGAGTGCCGCCAGGCCGAGTTCAGCCCGGCTCAGTTTGCTGGATCTAAAAAGATCAGTCTAAACCACTTGCTCAACTTCACGTTTGAGCCTCGTGTGGGCCATGGTGGTCTTGGAGGAGAAGGACACTCCTGCTGGGGCCGCCGCAACAAGTGGGGCCACAAGCATAAGCCCTTCAACAAGGAGCTTTTCCTGCAGGCCAAGTGAGCTCCCTCTCAATTCAAATCTTCCTTGTACAGTATGACAGAAGCCTTCTTGAATTGTTAGATTGGTGTTTATTAACTGTTTGTTCTCCTTTTACCTTAGCTGCCAGTTTGTGGTGACTGATGACCAGGACTACAAGGCTCACTTCACTGACCCAGACACTTTAGTGAACTGGGACTGGGTGCAGCAAGTGGTAAGTTCCGTACATCAGCCCTCTCTTTCGCTTGAAATCTCCACCTCTAATTGGACTTTTAATGCATATATTATTTCCCCCCTCCAGCGCATCTACAGTCATGAGGTTCCCTCCTGCCCCATCTGCCTCTACCCCCCGGTAGCGGCCCATATCACCCGCTGTGGCCACATCTTCTGCTGGCCATGCATGCTGCACTACCTGTCTCTCAGTGACAAGAGCTGGTCCAAGTGCCCCATCTGCTATGAGTCTGTGCACTCTGATGACCTCAAAAGGTTAGAGAGATGTTAAACAGCCATATTAGAACATTCTGTATCGCTACCTTTGGGAAATAAAATAAAATGGTGAATAACACGCTTTATCCCTTCATCTCTCACTGCAGTGTGGTTGCGATGGAAACCAGGCAGTATGCAGTCGGTGACCTCATCACCATGTGCTTAATGCGGAGGGAGAAGGGGGCTCTGGTGGCCATGCCCAGCTCTCAGTGGGTGAAGGTGGAGGAGCCTATACTCCTTGGAGGTGAGAGATGAGGAGGATGATTACCATATGTTTGTGTTGTCACGATACCAGAATTTTGACTTCCATACCAGGTTTAGTATCACGTTACTTGATACCAAATCGATTCCACAACACACAAAAAACACAAGGAGATGGACAGATTTTCCAGGTTTGCTCTGAAAATCACATTTTTAATATAAAAACAATAACATTTAATGTTTTAAGTCCACAGCAGTGATTAAATCACACCAGGGGACCACTTTTGAGGTCTTGGGAAAAATCTAATACATTTTCATTTGTGTAGTTACCCTTTATTTCATGTGCACATGTACTTAGCATCAGGGTTGCCATGTCTGTGATTTTTCCTGCAGCTTGGGCTACATTGAAAATGAGGTCCTGGTGAAAATGTATTGGTTGCTGGTTTTTGGGCTACTTCTAAATTGCACCGTGGCCGCCATGGCATTTCTCTTTTATAAAAAAATATAAAAAATCTATTAATTTCACTGTGACCTGCTGCTGCTGACTATCAGGCAGTGAGGCAGGCTGTTGGTGAGTGAGGAGGGCCAGAGGGGTGTGTTGAGAGTTGACTCAGCTGCCTGCTGCAGCACAGTGAGTGAGAAGAGAGTAGCAAGGATGCACGCACGTCATAACAAGTTTTTACCAGTTGTATTTTGATTGTCATTATGGAAACACCTATTGGATAAATGTGGCAACTCCTCTCTTGCTGCGGGAAAAATGTCTGGGCTAGTTTTCAGGCCTTGTGGGTGGATTGGGTGTGAGTGGTCATTGGGCTGGTAATTGTAGCTAGACCTGGCAACCTTGCTTAGCATTGTTTGGTTACCGGTTTCTGTAGCACACATGGAGTTTGCAAAACAAATGTCCACTGGATTGATGCAAATAATCATGATTCTTCCAGTTAGGCATAGGTTACTTACAGAAGGGCATTCCTGTGCCGTAGCGTCTTCAGATAGTTTCAAGTTGTTGTGATATGAGTCAGTGATGTGTTATGATAAGCTTGGGCTAGTTAATAAATGTTCTAATAAGTAAAATACATTTAGTTGGTTTCCAAATTTGAGAGACATTTGATAGATGAACTGAAAGTAACAAAATTCTAGTACCAAACCGTTTTTCATGTTGTAGTTATGGCTGTTGCGGTGACCGTATTACCGCCACACAGGCAGTCATGACCACAGTCAAATTCAACAGTCACGGTAATCTCCCTTTATGCACTCTGGACATGCGTTTGTAGTAACCAACTCAATAACGACCGTCAGGTCGATAATGGCCTTGTGCTCTATTGTACCTCTAACCAATCTGACATCAATGCAAATGCAATCGAAAAGCACATCAAACACTTATCATTAAAACAGTATCATGCTTTTAAAACTCACCGTTAGGCTACATTTTTTGACTTCCCTGTGATGGTCAGTTTGAAGAAAGAAGTTCAACAACAGGTTGAAACTGAGTGGAAAACATGGTCGTTGTGGATGTTGTTTCAAAGCCAAACACAACGGAATGGACAGCGCTTTCTAACGTGATTTAATTCAAAGCATTTAAGACATTGCATGTAGAACATCCATACGCATATTAGAGCTTATGCAAACACATAGGCCTATATATGAGCCCAAGCCCCACCAAAATGTGTGGATTGTATTATGCATACTGGATGGACTGGGTTACCTTACGCTACGCTCCAAACTTTCTATCCATGGGTCTGGGAGGGAACGTACAGGCCTAGGCGATGCTGTTGGTTCATTGATTGTGCAGGGCAGCTTATGGAGTTAGCTACGTTTTATAGTGAATTTGATTTTGAATAACCTAGTAATAGGGCACTTATTTTCATAATTAATAGGCTGACGCATTACCTTTAGCTATAGAATATCTCACCACTTTGTGTTTCCATCTCCTCCTCTCTCCTTCATTAATTTCTCGAGCGCGCAGGGATGGGGGCTGTCAACAGTTTAATGAAATGTTTTGTTGTGACAACTTGTTACTATCGATGTTCCCGACGTTTCACAAATGAAGCACTGGGTAGCTGCAGGAACATGGTTGGAGAGCCCATGACAAACATGCGTGAAGTGAAATAAGTGTTCTCATAAACAGACATTTCTATATGCAATCCCATGTGAAAGCAGAGTTTTGATGATTGCCACTAAAAAGAGGAGGATCCCAGCTGCTACTATAAAACCGAAGTAGCCTACATTTACATTTTACATTTTAGTCATTTAGCAGACGCTCTTATCCAGAGCGACTTACAGTTAGTGAGTGCATACATGATTTTATTTTTTATTTATTTATTTTTTTCATACTATTTTTCATACCCCGGTGGGAATCGAACCCACAACCCTGGCGTTGCAAACGCCATGCCCTACCAACTGAGCTACATCCCTGCCGGCCATTCCCTCCCCTACCCTAGACGACGCTGGGCCAATTGTGCGCTGGGCCAATTGTGCGCCGCCCCATGGGTCTCCCGGTCACGGCCGGCTACGACAGAGCCTGGATTCGAACCAGGATCTCTAGTGGCACAGCTAGCACTGCGATGCAGTGCCTTAGACCACTGCGCCACATGCCTACCCTGCATGATTTACACTGCGGGAAAGCGGCTTCGATTCGCTATTCAAATCAAATCAAATGTTATTTGCCACATGCGCCGAATACAACAGGTGTAGGCATTAGTGAAATGCTTACTTACAAGCCCTTAACCAACAATGCATTTTTTAAACAACGTTTAAAAAAAGAAGTGTTAATTTTTTTTTAAAGCAAATAACTAAAGAGCAGCAGTAAAATCAAATAACAGTAGGGAGGCTATATACAGGGGGGTACCGGTGCAGAGTCAATGTGCGGGGGCACCGGCTAGTCGAGGTAATTGAGGTAATATGTACAGTGGGGAAAAAAAGTATTTAGTCAGCCACCAATTGTGCAAGTTCTCCCACTTAAAAAGATGAGAGAAAATCCAGAAAATCACATTGTAGGATTTTTTATGAATTTATTTGCAAATTATGGTGGAAAATAAGTATTTGGTCACCTACAACAAGCAAGATTTCTGGCTCTCACAGACCTGTAACTTCTTTAAGAGGCTCCTCTGTCCTCCACTCGTTACCTGTATTAATGGCACCTGTTTGAACTTGTTATCAGTATAAAAGACACCTGTCCACAACCTCAAACAGTCACACTCCAAACTCCACTATGGCCAAGACCAAAGAGCTGTCAAAGCACACCAGAAACAAAATTGTAGACCTGCACCAGGCTGGGAAGACTGAATCTGCAATAGGTAAGCAGCTTGGTTTGAAGAAATCAACTGTGGGAGCAATTATTAGGAAATGGAAGACATACAAGACCACTGATAATCTCCCTCGATCTGGGGCTCCACGCAAGATCTCACCCCGTGGGGTCAAAATGATCACAAGAACGGTGAGCAAAAATCCCAGAACCACACGGGGGGACCTAGTGAATGACCTGCAGAGAGCTGGGACCAAAGTAACAAAGCCTACCATCAGTAACACACCATGCCGCCAGGGACTCAAATCCTGCAGTGCCAGACGTGTCCCCCTGCTTAAGCCAGTACATGTCCAGGCCCGTCTGAAGTTTGCTAGAGTGCATTTGGATGATCCAGAAGAGGATTGGGAGAACGTCATATGGTCAGATGAAACCAAAATATAACTTTTTTGTAAAAACTCAACTCGTCGTGTTTGGAGGACAAAGAATGCTGAGTTGCATCCAAAGAACACCATACCTACTGTGAAGCATGGGGGTGGAAACATTATGCTTTGGGGCTGTTTTTCTGCAAAGGGACCAGGACGACTGATCCGTGTAAAGGAAAGAATGAATGGGGCCATGTATCGTGAGATTGAGTGAAAACCTCCTTCCATCAGCAAGGGCATTGAAGATGAAATGTGGCTGGGTCTTTCAGCATGACAATGATCCCAAACACACCGCCCGGGCAACGAAGGAGTGGCTTCGTAAGAAGCATTTCAAGGTCCTGGAGTGGCCTAGCCAGTCTCCAGATCTCAACCCCATAGAAAATCTTTGGAGGGAGATGAAAGTCTGTGTTGCCCAGCGACAGCCCCAAAACATCACTGCTCTAGAGGAGATCTGCATGGAGGAATGGCCCAAAATACCAGCAACAGTGTGTGAAAACCTTGTGAAGACTTACAGAAAACGTTTGACCTGTGTCATTGCCAACAAAGGGTATATAACAAAGTATTGAGAAACTTTTGTTATTGACCAAATACTTATTTTCCACCATAATTTGCAAATAAATTCATAAAAAAATCCTACAATGTGATTTTCTGGAGAATTTTTTTTCTCATTTTGTCTGTCATAGTTGACGTGTACCTATGATGAAAATTACACGCCTCTCTCATCTTTTTAAGTGGAAGAACTTGCACAATTGGTGGCTGATTAAATACTTTTTTCCCCCACTTTACATGTGGGTAGAGTTAAAGTGACTATGCATAAATAATAGACAGAGTAGCAGCAGTGTAAATGAGGGGGTGGGGGGGCAGTGCAAATAGTCTGGGTAGCCATGATTAGCTGTTCAGCAGTCTTATGGCTTGGGGGTAGAAGCTGTTGAGAAGCCTTTTGGACCTAGACTTGGCGCTCCGGTACCGCTTGCCGTGCGGTAGCAGAGAGAACAGTCTATGGGTGGCTAGGGTGGCTGGAGTCTTTGACAATTTTGAGGGCCTTCCTCTGACACCGCCTGGTATAGAGGTCCTGGATGGCAGGAAGCTTGGCCCCAGTGATGTACTGGGCCGTACGCACTACCCTCTGTAGTGCCTTGCGGTCGGAGGCCGAGCAGTTGCCATACCAGGCGGTGATGCAACCAGTCAGGATGCTCTCGATGGTGCAGCTGTATAACTTTTTGAAGATCTGAGGACCCATGCCAAATATTTTCAATTTCCAAACACCTGAAGGTACCACGTTCATCTGTACAAACAATAGTATGCAAGTATAAACACCATGGGACCACGCAGCCGTCATACCGCTCAGGAAGGAGACGCGTTCTGTCTCCTAGAGATGAACGTACTTTGGTGCGAAAAGTGCAAATCAATCCCAGAACAACAGCAAAGGACCTTGTGAAGATGCTGGAGGAAACAGGTACAAAAGTATCTATATCCACAGTAAAACGAGTCCTATATTGACATAACCTGAAAGGCCGCTCAGCAAGGAAGAAGCCACTGCTCCAAAACCACCATAAAAAAGCCAGACTACGGTTTGCAACTGCACATGGGGACAAAGATCATACTTTTTGGAGAAATGTCCTCTGGTCTGATTAAACAAAAATAGAACTGTTTGGCCATAATGACCATCGTTATGTTTTGAGGAAAAAGGGGGTTGCTAAAACATCATCCCAACCGTGAAGCACGGGGGTGGCAGCGTCATGCTGTGGCGGTGCTTTGCTGCAGGAGGGACTGGTGCACTTCACAAAATAGGTGGCATCATGAGGAAGGAAAACTATGTGGATATATTGAAGCAATATCTCAAGACATCAGTCAGGAAGTTTAAAGCTTGGTCGCAAATGGGTCTTCCAAAAGGATACTTCCAAAGTTGTGGCAAAATGGCTTAAGGACAACAACGTCAAGGTATTGGAGTGGCCATCACAAAGCCCTGACCTCAATCCTATAGAACATTTGTGGGCAGAACTGAAAAAGTGTGTGCGAGCAAAGAGGCCTTCAAACCTGACTCAGTTACACCAGCTCTGTCAGGGGGAATGGGCCAATTCACCCAACTTATTGTGGGAAGCTTGTGGAAGGCTACCCGAAACGTTTGACCCAAGTTAAACAATTTAAAGGCAATGCTACCAAATACTAATTGGGTGTATGTAAACTTCTGACCCACTGGGAATGTGATGAAAGAAAGAAAAGCTGAAATAAATCACTCTCTACTATTATTCTGACATTTCACATTCTTAAAATAAAGTGGTGATCCTAACTGACCTAAGACAGGGAATTTTTACTAGGATTAAATGTCAGGAATTGTGAAAAACAGAGTTTAAATGTATTTGGCTAAGGTGTATGTAAACTTCCGACTTCAACTGTATGTATTCACCCCCTTTGCTATGAAGCCCCGTGGTCCTCTGTAGCTCAGCTGGTAGAGCACGGCGCTTGTAACGCCAAAGGTAGTGGGTTCGATCCCCGGGACCACCCATACACAAAAAAATTTATGCACGCATGACTAAGTCGCTTTGGATAAAAGCGTCTGCTAAATGGCATATTATTATTATTATTATAAGCCCCTAAATAAGATCTGGTGCAACCAATTACCTTCAGAAGTCACATAATTAGATTGCATACAGGTGGACTTTATTTATTTAACTAAGTGTCACATGATCTCAGTATATATACACCTGTTCTGAAAGGCCCCAGAGTCTGCAACACCACTAAGCAAAGGGCACCATCAAGCAAGCGGCACCATGAAGACCAAGGAGCTCTCCAAACAGGTCAGGGACAAAGTTGTGGAGAAGTACAGATCAGGGTTGGGTTATAAAAAAATATCAGAAACTTTGAACATCCCACGGAGCACCATTAAATCCATTATTAAAAAATTGAAAGAATATGGCACCACAACAAACCTGCCAAGAGGGGGCCGCCCACCAAAATTAAAGGACCAGGCAAGGAGGACATTAATCAGAGAGGCAACAAAGAGACCAAAGATAACCCTGAAGGAGCTGTAAAACGCCACAGCGGAGATTGGAGTATCTGTCTATAGGACCACTTTAGGCCGTACACTCCACAGAGCAAGCCATTGCTTAAAGAAAAAAAATAAGCAAACACGTTTGGTGTTCGCCAAAAGCCATATGGGAGACTTCCCAAACATATGGAAGAAGGTACTCTGAGCTTTTTGGCCATCCAGGAAAACGATATGTCTGGCGCAAACCCAACACCTCTCATCACCCCCAGAACACCATCCCCACAGTGAAGCATGGTGGCGGCAGCATCATGCTGTGGGGTTGTTTTTCATCGGCAGGGACTGGGAAACTGGTTAGAATTGAAGGAATGATGGATGGCGCTAAATACAGGGAAATTCTTGAGGGAAACCTGTTTCAGTGTTCCAGAGATTTGAGACTGGGATGGAGGTTCACCTTCCAGCAGGACAATGACCCTAAGCATACTGCTAAAGCAACACTTGAGTGGTTTAAGGGAAACATTTAAATGTCTTGGAATGGCCTAGTCAAAGCCCAGACCTCAATCCAATTGAGAATCTGTGGTATGACTTAAAGATTGCAGTACACCAGCGGAACCAATCCAACTTGAAGGAGCTGGAGCAGTTTTGCCTTGAAGAATGGGCCAAATTCCCAGTGGCTAGATGTGCCAAGCTTATAGAGACATACCCCAAGAGACTTGCAGCTGTAATTGCTGCAAAAAGTTGCTCTACAAAGTATTGACTTTGGGGGGGTGAATAGTTATGCATGCTCAAGTTCTGTTTTTTTGTGGTATTTCTTGTTTGTTTCACAATAAAAACTATTTTGCATCTTCAAAGTGGTAGGCATGTTGTGTAAATCAAATGATACAAACCCCCAAAAAATCAATTTTAATTCCAAGTTGTAAGGCAACAGAATAGGAAAAATGCCAAGGGGGGTGAATACTTTCGCAAGCCACTCTATTGTGATGGTGTATATTAAATGGATTTATTAGACTTTTTAAATGTAAATGTTCCAAAGGCGCGCATCAGTGGCTTGTATGCCAAGAGATGACAAACATGTTTGTTAATTAACAGTAAATTACTGTGTGACCAGCAGTCATTTGCATGACAATAACCGGCTAACAAAATGTAATGTCCGCCACAATCCTAGTTTGTAGTATTGAAAAAGTACCAACGTTTTAGTGTACCGTGCAACACTATGTTTACCACATACCTGTGTCTGTGGTATGGTATATGTGAGTCGTTGTGACATGGCTGTACCCCTGTGCTGTAGATGTGCATCTGAGCCCGTACTCCAAGTTGCTGCTGGCCTCTCGGGAGCAGGTGCTGGGCCTGGTGGCTGAGGAGAAGGCCGCTCTGCAGGATCAGCTCACCCAGGGAGAGGATGCCACAGCCTGTTTCATCCAGAGTGCCCTGTGCAATCTGCAGGTAACACTGACAAACTAACAGCTTGTCATTTAAAATACAGACCGCTTCTACTGCATGAAGCAAGAAGTGTTATGTGTGTGAAGTTTGACTTGTTACCCAAACTTAGGTCAAGTCATATATTATATGCCTATATAGCATGAACTGACCCCCTCTCTTTCCTCTGCTGTGATCCAGGAGCGAGAGGAGGCTCTGCTGAAGCACCAGAAGGCATGTGCTGAGGACAACCTGGAACTGTCAAATCTCACCCTGGCAGACCCCCCCTGCCCTGAGGAGGAAGTGGTGACCACCTTCAGCAGTACCAAGGTAAGTGTTTGCATGTATAACCTGTTAATGTACTCTCCAAACTCGCCCCTGTTATTGGCTCTGAGAGATTCTCCATGTTTTACTCTTTCCAGCCAGTTCTGCAGTACTCCTCTGCATTTGATGATGAGGTGGCAGAGGTTCCAGAGGAGGACCATGAGGAGGCCACAGGTGAGGAACCACAGCTCCCTGAAGGGCTCCTGGAGAGTGTGCTGGAGGAGAACCCTGAGGTCTCAGAGGATGCAGCTCCAGCGCCCCAGCCTGCTGACGAGAACCCTCTCAACCAGGCTGAAACAGTGCGCCCCCAAACCTCAGAGTATGGCCCCTCCTACTACTTCTACCAAGGTAGGATACCCTTTAGCAGAACTACTGTTTATCGGTGTCTCTCCACTCAATGGCTACCTTGTCCTCTTTATTGCATTCAAAAGTCCAGTCTCTGTACTCAATCCTTTCTTTCTCCTTCCAGCGGAGGACTGCCAGCAGATGTTCCTGCATCCAGTGAACGTGCGCTGTCTGCAACGTGAGTATGGCAGCCTGGAGGCCAGCCCCCACACCATCACTGCCACTGTGGTGGAGATTGAGGGGCAAACTATCACTGAGGTAAGTGATTAGATCTTAAACATAATTCTCACACATGTTTATTCTTGAAAATGTACCAAGACTTTGTTTCTTCTGGTTCATCCCTGGAATATGTGCAATATCTCAGGGTTTCATTGTTTTGATTCTCTTGGCTACAGGAGATTCGCCGTCGACACCGCTACCTGGCTCACCTGCCGCTCACCTGTGAGTTCAGCATCTGTGAGCTGGCCCTGCAGCCCCCTACCCTGTCCAAAGAGACCCTGGACAGCTTTGCAGGTCAAATAACCTAAAAATACGTTTTCTATTCTATTCAATTCATGTACATGGCTTCTTAGAGTAAATACTAATCTAATACTGATCTTCTTTCTCCATCACTCTTATTTTTCTGACTCTCAGATGACTTGGAGAAAAGAAAGCGTCTCAGACAAAAGAAAGCAAGGGATGAGAAGCGCAGGGAGAGGCGTATTGAGATGGAGGAGAACAAGAAGCAGGGGAAATGTGAGTCTATTTTACTTTTGGTTGTTTCTCAATGTAGAATGTGTAACTGAAAAATTGTCATCAGATAAAGTATCTTCATATGAATGTTCTCTCTCAGATCCAGAGGTGCATATTGGGCTGGAGAATCTTCAGCAGTTCCCGGCATTTGGGTCACCACCTCACAACGGCAGTCCACCAGTGTATCCTGAATTTCTGTTGGCCCCTCCCTCAGCCCTCAGCAGCAGCGCCGTCTCTGGTGAGACCAGCTCTTTCAACTGTCCTTTATTTTGATCGGCTTGGAAAAGTAAAGTGTCCCTGTTTTATGGACTCCTGATAGGAATGTTTGCATTTTGAGCCATGAAATTCGTATTTTTGACAAAAAATAGCACATTACAAACAGTGCCTAGTAAGTGTGAGCCTTGTAAACTGAAACTGCCATTTCCCTCTTGTTGTAGATGGGATGATGTTCCCCAGTCTGACTGGATACAGCCCTGCGCCCAGCGTGGGCTGTGTGGAGGATGACTCTCACTGCATGTCCTTCGCTCAGGTCTGTAGGCCTAACTCATTCATTCACCCACTTCGATATGTCTGTACCTACTATTTTCATTACGGACCGATTACCTTGGATGTCAGGATGTCACAACTTTTGGATGTCAACAATTTACACCAGTAATAGACAATTTGTATGACTTTCTCATCACCCCTCATTCTCCCCTGTATAGATGCTGAGAGATGGGAAAGCCAGGGCTGATGCTGGGCCATGGACCACTCCAAAGAAAGGTGACAACTCCACGTCTAAATCCTTCATTTCTCTTCAGTGTCTGTTAGTGTTTGCTCAAATCAGTTGGCCAGACGAGCATTGTCAGCTGAACCCTATATTTGTTTGGACCATACAGTGTCAGTGTTGGACCATGTTTGACTCCTGTTTTTCTGTGCCGCTCCCTCAGACATGCTTCTGGCTCCTCCAGTGGCAGACAGCGATGGAGAGAGTGATGTGTCTGACCGGGCCCCAGTGCCCAGTTTCCAGAACTCTTTCAGCCAGGCCTTTGAGGAGGCCCTCCTGCAGCTGGACCACAGTCCAACTGCTCCACCACAACCGGTGGTCATCCCTGGTCAGTCTTTCACTTTGTTTGTCTGTGTCTTTGCTTGTGTAAGTGATGCCTTATTTGTGGAGTTAGAAGATTTGAATACTTATCCCATTCTCTCTCTTTCAGAGGAAAAGGGGGGAAAGAAGAAGAAGAAGCAGAAACAGAAGCTTCTGTTCAGCACCTCCATGGTTCACACAAAGTAGACCACACAAGTTGAAACTTATCCCTTTACCCTCTCAGATTTTAATTTGATCCATCTCCTGCTACCACGCTGTCATTTTTCCATGCGGCTCTATTTTAGAATGATATACAATGGAGATGTTTTGTTGTTGTATGTAGCCATGGTAAGTAATGCCTCCACCACAGTCCCACTCACAATTTCTTCACTCAAACATTGTGCAATTGGTTTATTATGTATTCTATAATACTTCTGTTGCACAAAGATTTGTTCCACCTTCCTGCCACATTGAAAATCTTCAACAAAGAAATGCTGTATGGATGGAGGGTAGAATGAGTAACATTTGTTATAGAGACCATATTAGGATCTACTTTGGTGGAATGGAATAGTTTTAAGGGGTGCATTTTATTTGGGGTAGCAGTCAGCCAGCTGCAGGTACGTCATACCCTTTGAACCCTTCCCAGAGTTTCAATCCCAAGTCCCAAAGACTGTCAGCCCTGAATTTGGTCTTCAAAAAAATGTCTGCTTAACTAACAAAAACTAAAAACTCATCCTATGCAAGTTGTATGTTCTGTTTGAGCTTCACTCTGATTTGGCCTGAACATAGCAGAACCTCTATGCATGAGTCTGATTCTCATACCGGTCTGAAATGCAAGGAATACAGTGTAGCTAGTATTAAAGAAAGGATTGGAAACCTTTTGTGTGTGTTGACGGCAGAGAACTCAAATACACTGTAGACCTTGTTTGAATTATTAGACCATGGATATGCAGTTTATTCTCTTTGCTCTATAAATGTTTCCCCTTCTACCATAGTAATTTGTAACATTGGCACTTTACCCCGTGGTTTCAATTCAGTGTTGCAAATATAATTTATGTGTGAAGCTGGAGATCTGCAGACTTTTGATTGCTATATAAGGAGTGAAAAGGTGGGATGTAAAGATACTATATAGAATATGTTTTGTTTGAGGGTTCTTTTATTCTTGGATTACTTTGGAAGTTTATAGTGAACATGAAATAGGCCTACATTAAAAATGTAAACTGTCCTGACATTGGAATAAAGGATTATGAACAAACAAATTGTTTGGTTATTTTTGTATTGCAGCAACATGAGAGGATATTGATGCATAATTGTACATTTACATTTATTTTGCTCATTTGCACCCCAGTATCTCTATTTGCACATCTATCACTCCACTGTTAATACTACATTTTAATTATTTTGCACTATGGCCTATTTATTGCCTTACCTCCATAACTTACTACATTTGCACACACTGTATATAGATTTTCTATAGTGTTATTGACTGTATGTTTTGTTTATTCCATATGTAACTCTGTGTTGTTTTTATCGCACTGCTTTGCTTTATCTTGGCCAGGTCGCAGTTGTAAATGAGAACTTGTTCTCAACTGGCTTACCTGGTTAAATAAAGGTGAAATAAAATAAGTCATTTAGCAGACGCTCTTATCCAGACCGACTTACAATTAGTGCATTCATATGAGAACTAGGGAAGGTTGAACACCAGGCGGGCAGTGGCATTCTGGATAAATTGCATGGTTTTGATAGCACAAGCAGGCATTGTGGAACATCCCGCGGCCCCCCTGCCCGCCACATCTATTTCTATGGACACAAGCACTGTTCATGACACACTGTCCACACTCCTCTTGTTGGTGGAGAGAATTTTGCAGGTTTAAAGCTTATTTCCTACAATTTTGTCATGGGGTGCAAAGGGAATTTTGCAGTTTTAAAGCTAGTTTTCTTGCAATTCTATACATTTTGCCAAGTGTATTCATGTGATATTTGAGTGACTAAAATTACAACAATATCTATGGGCTAAAAAACCTAAATAAAAAAACGTTAGCTGGCATGGGCTAGTTGATCTGGACATTTATGACAAGTTATAAATAGCTCTTTAGGTATTTTTATTTAATTTATTAAGGATCCCCATTCGCCGCAGCCTGCTCTTCCTCTTGTTGAGGTGGTGTGTAGACAATCCAAGCCGAGATGTCTGCCAGGCACGCAGAGATGAGTGTTGACACCTGGCAGTCAGAAGGAGAAAGGTAGTTGAGTGTACTGGGATGAATGGATTGATTTATGAAAAATATCTATGTTGAAAATGTTTTCAAATCAATCAGAACCTACCAATCTAGCAAGAACAATTTCGAAATCAATTTAAGAACAAAATTAGGAAAATACGACCGCTCGATGGCCCGTATATGCAAAGGATATTGTCATTTATCTATATCAGTCCCCGATTTAACTTTTGCTACGTTGCGTAACGGTTTGTACTGAACGACACGTTTCCCCAAAACGTTCTTGAACAGACTTTGAGGTACGTTTCCTCCGTTTGGTGCGTATGGCTTGAGGCAATGAGTGACGTTATTTAAAGGGTTGCCGTCGGCAGTGGTGTATTTTGAACCCACAACCTAATCCCTCCCCGTTTTTCAACTGGTCGTTCAGAACAGCACCGTTTCCGTTTAATTGAACGAAGCAGAATGGGTTTTATCGTATTGATCGCAGGCCAGGAGGACACTAGTAGCGTACGATCCTAACCTGTCACTGACTGTCCACAGGGTGGCACACCATACCTACCAACTTGTAGCTAGCAGCCAGCCAAGTGCACCAACTACATTACCGTTCTCCTAGCCGAAGGCTACTATGCTGAAAAGACATGCTAAACTCGGAATATCGATTTGCACTAGTGCAGTACAAGTGTTTTTCAAAGCATTGCAACCTTTGAAAAAATACATTGATAATTTGACGTATTTTAAGTTTACACAAATACTGGTATGTTAAAAGCTATTGTGTAGGCTATATTTAAATAAATACAATTTTAATAAAATACAAATATATATTATTGGAACTACTTAAGAGTCTGCAAAACTTCAATTGGTCTCTTGTGCTGGGTAACGGGTTTTAATACTCCTCCACCCACTCCATTCACTGCAATACACTACTACACTGTGTATGGGATACTTATTGGGTTGTAGAGAAAAACAACTTTACTATCTGTATGTATCATATAAACTGGGGTGGGGAAATACTCAGTCGTGTCTCTGTTTACCAAATATGGTCCGTTTTTTAGGGGGACTGTGTGGCACGGCCTGCTGCTGGCTTTTCGCTCCGCCCCCTCCATAGCCCCCAATGCAATACACTGTAATAGACTGTACATGGGATACATATAGACTTGTAGAGAGAAAACGTTTCTACCTGTCTCAGCTAAAATGGGATGGGAAATACTCAGTAGGGTCTCTACTTCCACTATCCACGGTCCTGAAATCAATACACACTCAACTCAACAACAAAAATGAAAAAAAAAAAGCTAAACTTTTTTATCAAAACGAAAATCGATTTTATTTTACAAGTTAACTGTAATGAATATTAACCAGGCTATTAAGGACACAGTATAATCACGCTTTCTGAACAGCAATGGATACAAATATTTACAAGTTGTAGACCTATAGACAGGGGCGGTGTGTTCATTAGGGCGATATGGGCGACGCACTGCCAAACGGGAAAAGGAAGGGATTTTTTTTCTAATCAATTATATCACGGCAACAGTAGTTATCAGTGTTCTAATCTAGACGTCTGATCTGCCACTAAATGTCCAATCAGGCTAAAGTCGTGCTTCAAATGGCCCCGCCCCTTTTGTGGCGATTTCAGTCAGGTTGAAAATCGCCCCAGAAGTCTCTCATAGACTCTCATGTAAAATCTTTTTTTTTCAAATATCAGAGCTTTCAATACAATCTCTATGGGTTCCGGGAGGGCTTGCACTTACGCGCTTTCGTCATACGTAACATAACCATGAACGTAACTAAGAAAAGAGCGGGTAGCAGCATCAATCAATTCACGTACTACTGTCAAGATGGCTAGCGTTCAGTGCAACTCGATTGTCTCTTTGAAAGAAGTTCCTTTTTGTCGGCGAACAAATCAAGATAAATTGGCAACGAAACAATTAGGACCTCCCAGACCAAATTTAATAATTCAACAGGTTTCTACTAAAGGGGGAAAGTCCTACACCCGAGGATTTTCCAAAAATTGGTACGAACGAAAAACCTGGCTAGCAGGCTGCGATGTAGCTAATGCAGTCTTCTGCTACCCCTGCTTACTCTTTCACCCTGAAGGCGGCACGGCAGACAGCACCGCTTGGACAGCGACTGGTGTAACGGACATGCACCATCTTTCAGAAAAGATTAAGAAACATGAGCTGTCAAAGACCCACATGGATAGCTGTTTGAGATTGTCTGCTTTGGGGAGAGTGAACATTGCCACTCAACTGGATGAGGGATACAGGCTAGCTGTCCGCCGCCACAACGATGAGGTTAGCAAGAACCGCCACATCCTCAGCCGGCTAATCCAGTGTGTGAAGTTTTGCGGAGTGTTTGAGTTAGCTTTGCGAGGCAAAGATGAAACTGAGGGCTCCACCAACCCTGGTATTTTTCTTGGACTTGTCAACTTTGTGGCACAATTAGATGAGGTGTTTTATGGAAATGCATATTGTTTATGCAGTGTTGAGGAATGTGAAAGAACACCCTTGATTATTTTTACTGTGATAACTTATTTTGCTTTTGTAAGCCAACACTTTTGAGATCAGTCAATAAATGCTTCTGGTATTGACTTATATGCTGCCCCTGTCTTCATTGCTGGACATATCTTTTTTTAAAATGTGTGTAGGTCACCTAAATCATCAGAAAAATTGCCCCCCCTGAGAATTTTTTCAGGAGCCGCCACTGCCTATAGGTCTATCTGCTGCTTATCTATCAAGGTTTGCAGTATACAGTAAAGGCATAGGCCTATTACCTAATGTTAGTTGTGAAAAATAATAACAGAGACAATATTATTTACACGCTATATTGTCATTATTATCTATTAAGGTCAGCAAAGGCACTTTTTGTAGAGTGTAAACTGTATTACAAAAGACAAGGCTATCAGTACACAGCATAAACAAGCGTTCAGAATAACAAAGGAGAACATTCAACCTGGTCTCAGAGCATTTCGTATTTTCTGTCTGTAAATCCGAGACACTCCATTTAGTATGATATGTCACCTTCCATATGATATGTATTAATTTGTGGATGTCCATCACTCATTTCGTAGGATATGTTACTAATTACAATTCGTATTATATGTTATGAATTAGAAAAACGTACAATATGTTACGAATTTGCAAAACGTATGATATCTTACCGGGAAGGGTTTGCTAAAAGGGTTAGGGTTATGAGAAGGGTTAGCTAACATGCTAAGTAGTTGCAAAGTAGCTCAAAAGTAGTAAGTAGTTGAAAAGTTGCTAATTAGCTAAAATGCTAAAGCTGTGTGTGATGAGATTCAAACTCGCAACCTTTCGGTTGATTGAAATGTGAAGGTGGACTCATTACCATCACCATTAGGTTAATCTAGGTCGCTAACAGGTATGGCAGTCCATCATTGTTTACATTGTGTCTTTGAAGCGGTTGGCTTCTCGACTAATCAACTGCTAATAATCGGTATTTGGCACCTACATTAGGGCAAAGCAAGAGTGCATGAAATTCTAGTATGGAATGTCATTTTATTTCACACTGGGGGAAAAAAAACAATCAAACAAAAAGTGTTAAAGTGTTTTGTCTTTCCAACGGATATTCAACACAACAACAGTACATTCATTTATTGTTTTGGAATTAATGTAACATGCAGTACTAAATGCGTGTCTATAACAC